CAACTAGGGCATTAACTTGATATATACAGAAAGTTCTGTGGAGCTGAGAGGAATGGTTTCGAAGTTGTAGACCGGAAAGGAAAGTTAACACTAATTTTGTAATCTTTTATTATGTTTCCATGGTAACAGAAAAAACATTAAAAAATGAAATGTCAATAGCAAAAGGCACAACAAAGGCACTAACCTAAAATATACAGAAAGGTTTTTGCAGATGAGTGGAATGGTTTTGAAGTTATAGCCCAGAAAAGCCCTCGGATGGACGCACAGAGCCAAAATTAACAACCCCTTCAACTCATTTTGAGGGGGATAATTTAACTCCAGATTTGAATTTTCATAAATAAAATTTTCAATTTCAGTCAAATTTGACCTAATTTTCACCCCATCCATCAGTAATGGTGGTCAGCCGAGGTCAATAAGTGCATCTCATCGAACTGTCAGCATATACTAATAATTCCAACCAAGTTTGAACTATTTCTGAAAGAAAATATATTATGCTCAAAAATGAACTTTTTCTAGATACACTACAGTAAATTTTACCCCGTGTGGAAATATGGGACCATAAAGGTCATGTAACTTACAATTTTGGCAAACCACCATCAGACACTTCTATCTATGAAGAGAATTTCGTTCTACTTTATCTTGGTATTGAGAAGACAATTTTTCTAATTTCAGTCAATTCGACCCATTTTAAGGGTCATGAAATTTACAGTTTTTTAAAGCCTCTGAAGGCCTTTTCATCCATGAAGATTATTTGATTCTACCATACCTAGTATTTGAGAAAAAGATTTTTGAATTTTGAATCAAAACCCTTTTTGGTCCCACTTTCAGCCACAGAAGTTTTTTTGGTAAAATTTAGCGAAATCGAATTAGCAGTTTTCCAGAAGTAGAAAATGTTAAGATTTTATTGACACTTCCTGAATCAATAACAAGCCATGTTAGATAATGTGGTCTTTACTGAATATTTCATGCAGACCTGATATACAGAAATCCAGTTGCTAAAGTAACCCTAGTCAACAATATGTTTTGAATGTTGTGTGGTAACTTAATAACATGAGCTGTGTAAAACTCCTAACCAATGTGTCTGTTCAGAGTGAAGTCTGGTAAACATGACAGTACCAACATAACTGAAACCTGAGCTATACATTCACAGGAAACCGCTGCTACATGTAAGCATTAGATCAGATAGTTTCTGTATGAAATCTGTAAACTATATGAAAAGCACCAAAACAGATCTATCTATGAGCAAAGCTAAATAGATACCTGCTCTTAAAAACTGTTTTTTCCAGTATAGATATCTGTCAAAAAGGATTCCTGATTTACTCCAAATGAAACCAGTTCAACATATTGTATCACCATTATAAGATATACAGCATCTCCACATTGAATAGTCATTATAAGTAACAACTACCCCTATTTCATACATGGTTTGAAGGTGAATCATTTCCTGATCAGTAAATCATATTTGTATGACATCAGAAAGTGTTTTAACTGAAGGTCAAAGATCTGATATTAGGGGACAGAGATCTTACTCTGGTACATCTACACCTCAACATGACTGACCCACACAAAACCATGATTGTAAATGAAACGGTACCCTAAATATACTTCAGATACAATTTGTTCCCTATGATGGACAATATAGGTCAGTCACCTACTTCTAGCACACTTAACGCAACTTTCTCAATGATCAAAATCCTACTCAAAAGAACAAAAAACCATGTAATTTCATGTAAAATCTTCTAACTGGGATGTTGAATTTGTTTGTTTGTTTTTGTTTTGTTTACAGGGAGGGTTGAGGGTTTGGTTGACATGGGGAGGTGCTAGAATACCTAATTTTGGTTGATACCTGCAAATCCAGTTTCAAATCATAACTAACTGCTGTTCACCTCCCTGTGTACTTGTCACAATGAAAGCACCGTTGTTGGTAAACAATGTAGTACAATGCTACACATGAAGGTTTGCTATGCTAGCACTATCTAGCTTTTTTCCCCTTCATACTTGTTTTTTGGTCCAAGTGAAGTATAATTGTTACACATGTCATGATTCTAAAACCTGACTACCTCCGGAGGTAGTATTAAGTCTAGAAACCAGCATTAGTAACAAGATAAAATTGACTCAAAGTGGTATCATTCATCATGATAATGAACCTTGATGAAGCTGCAAGATTCAATAGTTAACTGACGTAATAGTTTTTCAGTTCAAATTTCATTTGAGAAATGGTTAAATTATTCTTTTTAGTAATTCTGAAATAATGAGGTCTTTTTTTTCTTTTTGATCAAGATGCTAACAATACTGTGAGATTTTTTGCACCAAGAAAAGCATTAGTTAAACAGAGATTTAAACACAACATGTATTTATAAAGGAATCAACAGTCATCTATAAACTGATCGATACATAAAGCAACTTAACAAGACTGTTTAGCAACATCAGTTGGTTATTCAATGACTGAAGTACACATTATAATTATTGATGGTTCTGAACAAATTGGTCAAACACAACAATGTATAACAATACATCTTAACATACTACCCTATAACCTACAACATCAGCTTCACTCACCATGTACTGAAAATAACAAGGCCTTATGTACCATTTTAACATACTACCCTATAACCTACAACATCAGCTTCACTCACCATGTACTGAAAATAACAAGGCCTTATGTACCATTTTAACATACTACCCTATATAACCTACAACATCAGCTTCACTCACCATGTACTGAAAATAACAAGGCCTTATGTACCATTTTAACATACTACCCTATATAACCTACAACATCAGCTTCACTCACCATGTACTGAAAATAACAAGGCCTTATGTACCATTTTAACATACTACCCTATAACCTACAACATCAGCTTCACTCACCATGTACTGAAAATAACAAGGCCTTATGTACCATTTTAACATACTACCCTATATAACCTACAACATCAGCTTCACTCACCATGTACTGAAAATAACAAGGCCTTATGTACCATTTTAACATACTACCCTATATAACCTACAACATCAGCTTCACTCACCATGTACTGAAAATAACAAGGCCTTATGTACCATTTTAACATACTACCCTATAACCTATAACATCAGCTGCAATCACCATGTACTGAAAATAACAAGGCCTTATGTACCATTTTAACATACTACCCTATATAACCTACAACATCAGCTTCACTCACCATGTACTGAAAATAACAAGGCCTTATGTACCATTTTAACATACTACCCTATATAACCTACAACATCATCTTCAATCACCATGTACTGAAAATAACAAGGCCTTATGTACCATTTTAACATACTACCCTATATAACCTACAACATCAGCTTCACTCACCATGTACTGAAAATAACAAGGCCTTATGTACCATTTTAACATACTACCCTATATAACCTACAACATCAGCTTCTATATAACCTACAACATCAGCTTCACTCATGTACTGAAAATAACCTTATGTACCATTTTAACATACTCACCTACAACATGTACCATGTACTGAAAATAACAAGGCCTTATGTACCATTTTAACATACTACCCTATATAACCTACAACATCAGCTTCACTCACCATGTACTGAAAATAACAAGGCCTTATGTACCATTTTAACATACTACCCTATAACCTACAACATCAGCTTCACTCACCATGTACTGAAAATAACAAGGCCTTATGTACCATTTTAACATACTACCCTATAACCTATTTTAACATCAGCTTCACTCACCATGTACTGAAAATAACAAGGCCTTATGTACCATTTTAACATACTACCCTATAACCTATAACATCAGCTGCAATCACCATGTACTGAAAATAACAAGGCCTTATGTACCATTTTAACATACTACCCTATATAACCTACAACATCAGCTTCACTCACCATGTACTGAAAATAACAAGGCCTTATGTACCATTTTAACATACTACCCTATATAACCTACAACATCAGCTTCACTCACCATGTATGAAAATAACAAGGCCTTATGTACCATTTTAACATACTACCCTATATAACCTACAACATCAGCTTCACTCACCATGTACTGAAAATAACAAGGCCTTATGTACCATTTTAACATACTACCCTATAACCTATAACATCAGCTTCACTCACCATGTACTGAAAATAACAAGGCCTTATGTACCATTTTAACATACTACCCCCTATAACCTATAACATCAGCTTCACTCACCATGTACTGAAAATAACAAGGCCTTATGTACCATTTTAACATACTACCCTATAACCTATAACATCAGCTTCACTCACCATGTACTGAAAATAACAAGGCCTTATGTACCATTTTAACATACTACCCTATAACCTACAACATCAGCTTCACTCACCATGTACTGAAAATAACAAGGCCTTATGTACCATTTTAACATACTACCCTATAACCTACAACATCAGCTTCACTCACCATGTACTGAAAATAACAAGGCCTTATGTACCATTTTAACATACTACCCTATAACCTATAACATCAGCTGCAATCACCATGTACTGAAAATAACAAGGCCTTATGTACCATGTAAATCCCCTATGGTTACACTACATACCCTACCTCAAAACAAGGCAAAATACGTCTTGTCATCCATTGTTTCCATATCCTGCCACATTTTATCAAAAATCAATTTGCCTGAATGTTTACCAGGCAATGCAGTATTGCAACAAAGTTATATAAATGTATTTTCAGCACTCCTTTCAAAATCACAAATCGAAAACAATAATCATAATAATAATAATGATAAAGACTGTGACAATAAATGTTGCCAAAAAATTTCCTATCACTGTAATGCAAAATGACCCTCAAGAAATTTTGTCTCCTCCTTTGGGCAATCTTCTGGTAAGATGACAAAATATCTAGACCTCAGTTCCTGAAATGAATACATTCATCCTGAATTTTATTGAAACATATACAATAACCTTAATTAAAGTGCTCCCTACACCTCACCATTAAAATAATTATATACAAAAGTACTCACCTCAATTCCTGTGACTCCAAGAGCCATTTCTATGTTTTGTGTCATCCGGAATGGCACTTTCTCTGGAACTCTAAGGCCCTTCCCCTTCTCAAAGCAAACATTGTAGTCAATGTGTACAACCTACAATAGACAAAATACCAGGTCTTAAGATTAACTCCAAACACGAACCATCAGAGTAGTAATATGTAGAAGGAACATCACTTCATTAAATATCAGAGATGACTAATTTGCTAATATCACACCATGTTACAGGATTACTAGGTCAGAAAAGACAGTGTGTTAAAAATCTTGTCTATAATGACATCCCATTGATTGCTGAGTTGCTAGAGAACCAGACTTCTCTGGTGAAGATCTAAGGTGTGTGGTATGATCTTTGACACTTTGTTTATCAGATGCTGAGATCACAAATCATTCTTTGTTGTTTGGTTGTGTCCTCAAGCAAGACATTTGAACTCTGTGTGCTTCCTGTATGTTACTCAGTAGATACTACCAGTAGCCAATGGCTACTGCAAGGAGGCCTCACCTCACCTGTTCATGGAGAGATAAACCTAGCAAGTAAAATGAAATTCTAGTCAGATTGAAGAGGCTAAATACACTTTACTTCACTGACATTCAAGGTTCATAACAGTTTGATCGAATGCTCGTATGATACTATGGCCAAGCTGGAGTTAAATACCACATTATTAGGATCATATATTCATGTCAGGCATGTTTTCTTATACACAGGTATATAAAGATCAGTGTCACAGAACATCAAATCTTCAGCCTGCTTTTATTTAAAAAAAACAAGAGGCCGAACAGCCTTGACAGTTACCCGAGATGAGCATAAAGGTTATTGGTCAAGTAAGCCCTTGAGAGTCTGCCATTGTCAATATATGCATACCCTCAAAACTGTCATCCTATATTTACAATTCCTACCAAGTTATTTTCTATGGAAAATAAATATTATGCTCAAAAATGTGAAATTCCTTAAAAAAAACTTAGTTAACTTCATTCCCTCACCTGGGAAAATATATGAGACCATGGGGTCATGAAATTCACAATTTTTGTAAACCACCTTTGGACCCTTTCAACCACAAATAACATCTGATTCCAGCATATCTTGGTGTTATGAAGAAGACTTATGAAATGATGCTAATTTGACCCCTTTTGGCCCTGCCTATCAGGCCCTGGGGGTCAGCCAGGATCAATATGTGCATGTCATCAAGCATTATCATTCTAATCAAGTCCGATACATTTCCATGCAAATTTAACAAATTATGATCAAAAATGTAATTTTCCTATATTAAATATAGTAAACCTCTCCTTCCTCCTAGCTAAAAATGTAAGACCCTGGGGTCATGAAATTCACAATTATGGCAAATTTCCTTAAGATGCTTCCATCCATGAAAAGCATTTAATTCTACCATATCTGAGTGTTGAAATGAAGATTTTTTTAAATTTGAGATAAATTTGACCAATTTTAGCCCATTGTCCCTCAGATTCCTGAGGGTGGGGACCGTATAATTCACTCTTTTAGTTCACCTTTGGCCAGGGAAACCTGCTAAATTTCATTGAAATAAATTCAGGGATCTCAGAGAAAAAGTGATAAATGTGACCTAAAAATTGATGGCTTTTGTCTTGCCTACCAAGGAACATATTGAAATACTTGACATACCAACAACAACAGAACGTCAAAAAACAAAATGATCACAGGACATTACTGTGTCCTAGATAGAAAGGAAACTGTTCTATATGGGGAACACAATTCTTCTTCACTGGAGTTATACTAATGAATGGACAGCTAACGTACCAAGAGGCGTCCAGATTGATACAAATGTACAAACATAACACACATCAGGACCATATCAATTGAAAGGAAGTGAAATCATAACTCTCAATTAATTCAATTGTTTATTGATAGATGTTGCATGACATATAACACTCTATTAAAGGCAACTGAAATAGACCACATGAGACTAGGAGGACCTCAAAAGTTTCCTATCCTAATTTGTAAATAGAAGCTTAAACAACTGCTGATTATTAGAAAAATCAGAACAATCTCCCTAAATACTTTCATTTGACATTGGATGTGAAGCTATAATCACAGACAAGCCTCCTAGAAGCCTTGTACTAATTTAACCCTGAAGTACAAGTAGACAAGTAACTTCTGGGTGTTTTTGATAGCCATGATTTAACTGACACTACAGACCAGTTATCCTTTTGTTTGATGAACACAATGTAATGGACATCAACTTTTCTCTGTTCAACTTCACTCAAGGACATTTATGAATAACAAGCAGATCTGTAGTAATGCTTACACATTTTAAAGAAAATTACATGCTAAACAAAATCTACAGTCCAATAATGTTAATGCTAATTTAATATGTTTCATTAATATTTAGCTGATACTTTTTAAACAACAATTTTCATCAGCTAATATGGAATAGATACAACAAAGCCATAGAATGCAGTAGTGACAGTATCCAATTAGTTGGTCAAATCACACCGCCGTAGAGCTACACTAAGGGTAGGGAGGGGCACCAATTATCTGGTCAGATCACATCGCCGTAGAGCTACACTAAGGGTAGGGAGGGGCACCAATTAGCTGGTCATATCACATCGCCGTAGAGCTACAATAAGGGTAGGGAGGGGCACCAATTAGCTGGTCAGACCACATCGCCGTAGAGCTACAATAAGGGTAGGGAGGGGCACCAATTAGCTGGTCAGATCACATCACCGTAGAGCTACCATAAGGGTAGGGAGGGGCACCAATTAGCTGGTCAGATTACTCCACCATAGAGTTACACTAAAGGTAGGGAGGGGCACCAATTAGCTGGTCAGATCACACTGCCGTAGAGCTACACTAAGGGTAGGGAGGGGCACCAATTAGCTGGTCAGATCACACCGCCGAAGAGCTACACTAAGGGTAGAGAGGGGCACCAATTAGCTGGTCAGATCACACCGCCATAGGGCTACAAGGGTAGGGAGGGGCACATTTATGTTCAGTTAGCCAATAATTTTCTGTCCAGACAGAATTTGGCACTGTAAAATAGCCATTATTATATTATCAACATCCTCTTTAACTTTACATATATACAGAAAAAAAATATGAAAATCTTTCTTACCATTGTGTGATGAAATATAGTGACAAGATACCCAACCAAAGAGCCTGTTACCCAAGGCAATAGGGTCACTTGTATAGTATCTTCCTGATATCGGTCATTAAAATCACCAATGGTTTTTATTGTCCATGTTTCTAACAACAGTATAAAAGATACATTAGGATCCTGTTCCTGTCACAATATATTTATGATGTCGGATCCTGACAACAATAATGAGTAGTCTGGTCGAGATAATGACAGATTTCATCCTGTACTTCCCAGATACATTTACATTCAGAGACCAAAGAAATTATTCTAATTCTCATTTCCTAACAACACACACCAATAACAGTTGTTAGCCGTGATTTTCCTTCAATAAAAAAAAAAAAAAAAACCAGCTGATAATATCACTTTCTTCAAATTGATCTTATTTTGTTGTTTTGTTTTGAGAAGAAGCCTCATAAAAAAACTTCCTTTGTCATTTCTTTTTTAATATAACAGAATTCCTTGTTTTCAAAAATGATTGCATTCCTTATGTATATGCCCTGTTATATTCTTGAAATCCATGAACATGTTCCAGATTGAATACGGTGCTAAGTACTTTGAAAACATAATAGGTATTAAATATATTGTTTTGGTATTAAGTACCTTTCGAGGATCTTCACTTGCATGGCAGAGTACACCGATATTTGTACATCAATATTATGTCGTATTTGTTATGTATTATAAAGGAAATCATTTATAGGGATCTTCTCCTCTACCAACCTTTTATTTATGATGAAAACAAAAGTAAAAAGACAACATTTTGGTTTTTAACCAAGGCTGCTGTAAGCCCATAAAAATTTAAATCCTGCCATTCAAACTAATGGAATCACATTTGAAGATTCTTTAGGCATCAAAAATAATACATGTATCTCTACAGACATGCCAGAAAAAGGGAGGTAAGTGACCAAATAGTCATTAAAAAGGAATCATGACTCTGATAGCGATCCCTTCAAATTCTTTAAAATGTTGCATGTGGACTAAAACATATTGGGGCAGCCAAGTTAACAGAAAGTTGCATACAAGTGTATCTTTTTCATTTGAGGATGATAAGTATTTTCTTTAGGAGAAACCTATCTCCCAATTACACCCCTGCCCGATCCTATCCCTCTAATTTTCTCAAGAAAGGAAAGCAAAATCCTTTATTGAGAAAGCCTAAACACCCCTTACCATAGGAAACAAATGAAATATCTATAATTCTGATTTATATTTCCTTAAGCATTTCAAAACATAAGTGGACTACGAGCAATGAAACATTGTACAGTTGGCTTGCATAGCTTTACACCTTACCTAATGAAGACTGTTTAAAAATTCCAAACTTTACACCCCTTCTTTCCAGTATGTTTAACAACAAATATCACAAAATAAGCCTCTTGGTTATTCAGAAAAAATTATTTCGAAGACTTCAATGCATACACCCCAGCAATGTTGAAAATTGGCCAAGGTCATTCCTATCAAGACAAGAGTTCCTCGGAACTGTATGTGTCGCCTGCATAATGTGTCATGGTCACCCAGAAATTGAACTGGATGTGCAACGATCAACTATAAAGTTGTAATACCAAATTACATTTCGATAACTCAAAGCATAAGCCAAAAAAGTCCGGAAAACAATATTCCCAGCAATTTTCTATGTTGAAAGGGGCATAACTCTGCCAAAAAGGGTCACAGACAGCCGGGAATGCCAAATTTTATTTTGATAAGTCAAAGCATTACCAAAAAAAGTCTGTAAAGCTTTTGTACAGACGACAAAATTTGAAACTGGGAATCCAAGCATCATGTTCATTGTACTCGGTGAATCTGTCTCTTAGAAACATTTGTCATATTCCCACCGCTAAACACCTGTTTTCTGAGCACTTTCAACACCCAGCAAAACAACATGGACAATCAAAATGTCGATGAACTGAGTGACAAAACAGGGTACAAAATCTGTAGAAATAAGAAAGCGGAAATTGCCATTTGGCAGCACTTTGGGCTGCAGATGGACAAAGCTAATAGACATGCAAAGATAGGACAGCAATTTTTCACCATGGTTCCAAGATGGTCACCACAAATTTGAGTTTCTGCCGTGTCCCACTTCTCCTTAATATGCAAATTCTAACATAACTAATAAACTACAGAGAGCTAGCCTTACATCTGACAGGTATTTACATTCTTTGTGATTCAATGCTTCTTTACCGTGTCATGTGTGCACTGTACTGTATGGTTTTGTATGCATTTACAATGTATTGTGATACCATTTTTTCATATCTTGGCACCCTTAATCTTAAATGTGGGTCAGGTCATTCATTTGAACAAGCTTGATATTCCTTCATATCAGCATGCCACTGACCCAATATCATGACCCTGGATGTCTATGTTAGTGGTTTGAAGCAAAATGTTAGCATTCTACATAAACAGGTAAGACAACTTGACCTTAAGAAAGTTTAACTAATAAATAGTCACCACCTTTTAATTGTATATAGACAATGCTGAGATTTTAGACGATTTTTAAATGTACAATACAACATTCACTTAATTAGTAGGTATTATCATTCTGTATTTTACAAAGCTTGGTCCCAAGTTCTGATCAATTCAAATAGCAGCAATGTATTTATTTCTTCATGATTAGCAATATATGATCATATGTTGAGGATTTACATTGTGTTCATGTCATTACCTTTCTAGCCCAGGTCAATACCAATAAAATGGGTTTGTCCTTTTTTGATGCCTGGAATTTGTTATATACTCTAGATAATAGATCTCGACTATTTTCATATAATTATTATGGGATAAAAACTCATTGAGTGGCTTGGGACTCTTGCTAGACCAAGTAATAGTATATTTGGTAATAGAAGACTGTATTCATGTCCAGACTCAAGAGCTTAAATCACAGGGACAGCTGGACCCACAATCTTTGTAACACGACTATATCCAGGTCAGATTTCTGTAGTGTGAGAATCTCAATCCAACACAAACAAAGCTGGACCCACAATCTTTGTAACACGACTGTATCCAGGTCAGATTTCTGTAGTGTGAGAATCTCAATCCAACACAAACAAAGCTGGACCCACAATCTTTGTAACACGACTGTATCCAGGTCAGATTTCTGTAGTGTGAGAATCTCAATCCAACACAAACAAAGCTGGACCCACAATCTTTGTAACACGACTGTATCCAGGTCAGATTTCTGTAGTGTGAGAATCTCAATCCAACACAAACAAAACTGGACCCACAATCTTTGTAACACGACTATATCCAGGTCAGATTTCTGTAGTGTGAGAATCTCAATCCAACACAAACAAAGCTGGACCCACAATCTTTGTAACACGACTGTATCCAGGTCAGATTTCTGTAGTGTGAGAATCTCAATCCAACACAAACACAGCTGGACCCACAATCTTTGTAACACGACTGTATCCAGGTCAGATTTCTGTAGTGTGAGAATCTCAATCCAACACAAACAAAGCTGGACCCACAATCTTTGTAACACGACTGTATCCAGGTCAGATTTCTGTAGTGTGAGAATCTCAATCCAACACCAACTATGATAAAGGACAAGATCCCCTGAAGCTGCAAGGGTGCCAGAAATAATCCTATATAGCTCCAGTGGTTCTATTTAAGTTTGAGATGTACACTCTATAATCTTACTTTATACCTAAGTTTAGTGGCTATATCATCAACACTTTCTGAAATACTTATCATCAACACTTTCTGAAATACTTATCATCAACACTTTCTGAAATACTATAAACCTACATGAAACTTCTCATTTATTTTCAATGTGGATGTAACAGCAAGACAAAATTTATCTCCATTAAGATTGGCTTTTTCAATAACAAATTTTTGGGTTACATAAGCTGCGTGTTATTTGCACATAATCAGAAACACTGATGCCCACATACATATTTCTGATATCCTTGGATGTTTCTAACATACCTGCTGAAAATGGCAAATCTAGCAATTTTAATTCAAAATATCCTGCCAATTCACTGTATTACGGGAATTTAAAAAACTAAAATTGGTTCATTTTAAAGCAATTATAAAACAAGTTATGTTAACTTGTATCAATCGCTTTTGTTGGTGGAAATGGATGAGTACCCGAGTAAGTAAAATTCCCACATGGTCAGGTATGTGTCTCCATACCAAATCCATTCAGGGAATCATGGTCAGGTATGTGTCTCCATACCAAATCCATTCAGGGAATCATGGTCAGGTATGTGTCTCCATACCAAATCCATTCAGGGAATCATGGTCAGGTATGTGTCTCCATACCAAATCCATTCAGGGAATCATGGTCAGGTATGTGTCTCCATACCAAATCCATTCAGGGAATCATGGTCAGGTATGTGTCTCCATACCAAATCCATTCAGGGAATCAAACCCTGGATGTCATGGTGACAGAAGAGTGTGGTAACATTGCATCTTATAATTATGTAATAGTCCAAACAGATGGAACAGAATTAACAACAAATTTGCAAAAGAAATTGTTACTGACCTCGCCAGTGGCTAAGTCAACCAACACGTTGTCAAGATGCCGATCTCCCAGTCCTATTATGTATCCAATCATGGACATGACAGCTGTGGAACGGGCATATGTTTGGGTCACATGCCACCATTCATTGGAGCCGGTACTGTGGCACCATAGTTCCCTGTAACCAAGCAACATACTTTAATTATATAATAGGTGAGAAAGCAAAGATCCTTTTATTTAAGGAGAATGACCAGTTCATTTAGTTCTAGACTGCTAGATTTATAAAAATGAATGCCAAAATAAACAGTTTTTCTCTATTTCATTCATTGAAAATTATGGACCAACTTCTCATACCACTTAAGGTGCCATGAATTTTCAAAAGGGACCAAGAACTAACTTAACAACAAAATATCAAATAACAAAATATGTCCATTTCTAAACCAAAAGGTTTGGGGGCATCTTTAACGTGCAATTAACATCTAAATAACTTCTCTTTCTTCCTAAATAACTGTAACTTCCAATAAGTGTAAAAATGTTAGTGAATAAATATCTAGACAGTGTCACAATTCTTCTACCACACAGAGACCTTAAAAAGTTCTGCTCATTCTTCTTTATTCAACATGAAGTTTGAAAGTCAGAGAAATTCCAAACAAATTTGAAATCTGTTTCACTGGATTTACAGGAACTACATTTTGATTTCAAATGATTCAAAACGCAATTTACATTTGCCAAGCCACGCTTAGACACACACCCAGACTGACAGATTACTGGCAAGCCCTTACCCTCTACCACAAAAGTCAAGAAAGACTGTTACAAAAAAACCCCATACAAACAAATAAATTCAACAATCTGATCTTTTTTTAATTTATGATAGCAGTATCCTTGGACCTTAGAATAGGGGATATGAAAATCAATATCCCAAGTAAGCACTTTGGGTAAGGAAGCATTGTATGAAGTTTGATTTATACTGGGCAGAGCAAACTCAAGTTACCACACAGAAACTGACTGTGACCTTTGACCTTTGGACCTGAATGGCAATTTATCTAAAATCTAGCACTTTTAGTTAAGAAGCTTTGCATCTAGTTTGAATTCAATGGATGTTCCATTTCACTTCTGGGTCTGACAGTAATTCCTAGCAAGCATTTTCAGTAAGAAAGCATTGTATGAAGTTTGAGTTTGATTTGCCCAAGGGAACCCAAGTTATATCACAGAAACCAATTTTCTACTTAGACAGTTACCTGGACCATTCACCCTGGGACATGAAAATTAATCCAAAGCAAGTCATTTTTGTATGAAAGCACTGTATGAGGTTTGAGTTTGACTGGCCAAAGCAAACTTGAGTTATCGCTAGGAAACTGATTTTTCTATTTATAGCAACAGAGACCTTGACCTTCGACCTTCAAAACTGTAAAGCAATCCCGAGCAAACACTTTCATAAGGAAGTACTTGATGCAGGGCCCTGACATCCCAGAGTCAGCATGGTAAGTACTGACCGTGCTAGTAAATCTCCTGGTGTCTCCTCCTTCAGTTCCTGTAGGACAGTCCTAAGGACGCTAAGTGGCCACTCCTTCCTGTTCTCTAGATTGGTAACTCCCTGCAGGTTCAAAAATTTACTTCATAATTTTTTCATCACACTATTTCTTTTTTTGAAACATCACCACTGAACAAATATATTAAAGATGATTGAATTTCTTGAAAATTATCTGATTTCTCTATTTTTAGTTTAAGGCACATTTCATCAACATGAGACAGATAAGCTACATTTTAAAAACAAACAGGCAATGAAAAAACTGTAAAGGGCCTGTTTCCAGTAATGTTAATTCTCCATAGGAGCCTGCCCCCGTATAATTTCTTATCTAGCTCAACTACTGTTTTTTTCTTTTCCGAAAAATAATTTTACACCTTTCCGACACCCAGATTTCATAATTTCAGTGAAAGTGTATTTTTATAGAGTTGTCAATTTCAGCATCAAAGACATCAGTTCGTAAATAAAAGAAGGTTATCTTGAAATTGTAATTCGCAACATAGTATAAATTTCTTTTGATAAATATTTCCAAAACATCGTGTTTATTCATAAAACATAAAAAAAAAATATTCTCGGATGAAAATGCACTTGCAGAGACACAATTATGAAGAAAAATGCCATAAATTTGCAATTTTCTCCCGTTATATAGTTTTGGATGCAAATTTCCATCAGAAAATCGGATAGAGCTTTACTTGTTTCATATGTGTACCAAAAATCAGCTAATTCCATGTGGTGGAACGTTCTCATATCGCCGCCTGAATGTGGTTGTAAATTGAAAGAAAAGGGGAAATGAGTAACAACCTTGTCTGAAACCCTATTATATAGCTTATTATATACAAACTTTTATATTGAATATCAGAGCGGATATTTTCATGACAGTTTTATGATGTGTAAAAAAAAAAAAAATAAATAAAGTACTGTTTCCCCGTCTCGATCTTGATTACTTGAGAACCATTACATGTGGAACGTATCAGATATCTCTGGCTCCTGGTTACATCGCCAAACATTTAAGTGATGACGGCGACTATGAGGTGTGGCTTTACCAGCACTCCCCAGACCTGCTCCGATGTCAAATACATTCTCGACTCAAAAGCCAAACGAAATATAACGTTTGGATACGGTTCACCGTTTCACCTGATGTTGAGGCCCCAATAAAGGACTACTACTGCCAGTGCCCAGTTGGAAAGAGAACGATGGGAATGTGTGCGCACATCTCCAGTATCTTGTACTACCTTGGGTATTACAGGACGCTGGAAAACCCTCGACCATTACAACCACAGGTAAAGAAATTCCGACAAAACATGAAATAGTTTTCCATGCGGCAACAACGTGCTTATGTCAAAAGTATGTTTGGGGCTCGATATGAAAGATCCCCGTTACCATGTGACTAACCAAACTTATAAATATAGGTATTATACAATCGCCCGTAGCTATGAACACTCCCGTAAATGCGAAAACCAACCAAAATCATAAGGAACACGTTTTGTTTGTTGTTCTGTCTATTTGTCAGCCAATGTCTTCAACCACGGGGACTTGCGAAGTAGCCATCTTGGATTTTTTTATGAAAAAGTGTTTCTCTCACTTTTTTTCATATCTGTGTACATATTCTCAACATACCGAGCAAATACTCTCGTTTTTTTGTTAATTATTTAAAGAAAGTCGAAAATCGGCAATTCAACCATAGGCTAATTCAACCCAACATTTGAAAATGTTCCACCACTTACATTTTGATGATTTTTCCTCTCATCAATAGCATTTTACGTACTATTTAGTAGGATAAAAATTGGTTTGCATCCAACGCCCATAAAAGGGTGTATTCTCTAAAAAACACAGTTTTTGTATCTAAAATGTTATCATCGAAAATGGCATTTTTGAGATTGTTTCTTCCATAAAACAGCCAAATGGCGTGATGGAAACATGATTTTTTTGTCACAATCATGCCATGAATATATTCTTTACGGTGACTATCATTTGATTAGATTTTCATTAATATTTTACATAACATGCACATTTTATCAACACTTAGACAGCTTCTGAAAGGTACAACTTTGAGGAGCCATAAAAAACAAACCAAGTGACCTAAATCTTTATACTTTATAGATTTGTGACCACAACGGCATGGGCAATGCACCACCAACAGGAAATTTGAATCAGAGAAGGGGCCGTTTTGGAAACCGGCCCTTTATTTTTTTCGAAAAAAAAAAAACACATGACAGGCATACTAACGGAAAAAAAAGTTTTTTTCCGGTGGTAAATATTTCAAATGTTTTATGGATGATCATACCATTGTTAAGATGTTTATATTAATTCCTCATTACTGATTAAAATTTGATAAGTTCTGTTGTCTCAACACAGACGGCATTGGCATGGATAGCGTTTAAACGTGGATACCCTACGCCATTTCCTGATCAAAATCAATAGCGGGTGTGCCCACCTCGAGCTGCAGTCGCTGCTCTAACACTCCTTACAACTGACCCCATCAAATTGTTTATGGTCCTTTGTGGGATGTTATTCCACTCCTGAAGAAGGGCCTGCGTGAGCTGAGCGACATTGTATGGGACGTTGATGCGCTTCCTGAGCTTCCTGTCCAGCTCGTCCCACAAATACTCAATTTGGGACAGATCTGAACTGTAGGGTGGCCAGTCGAGTACTGGGACATTGTTTTGGTTGAGGATTTTTTATTTTTGGTTGAGGACACACTCTAGCAACCTGTGGCCTCGCATTTTCCTGCTGCAACGTAAGGTTTCACGCTTGGATTAGTGGAAGGACGTGAGGAATGAGGACCTGATCCCGATATCGGACGGCTGTAAGACTGCCTTGGATGAGCACGAGAGGTGTTTTCACGCCATAAGAAATCCCCGCCCAAACCATAACAGACCTCCCCCGAATCTGTCGTTTTCTTTAACACATGTGTCAAAATATCACTCACCGCAACATTGATAGCAACGTTTTCGTACAACGTGAACCGAGACTCGTCTGTGAATAACACACGTCTCCAGCGGGCCTAGGGAAACCAATTTGGTGCATGTGCATGCTGCCATTGCATTCGACATTGACGTCGCCTGAGTGTAAGTTGCGGACCAACATCGCAGTCTGAAATTGGTTACGTAGGTGTGAGAGACGTATGCCCTGATCTTGACGTGGCGTCGTAACGAGTGGACGGCCGCTCCTGGGATGGTCAGCTATTCTTCCCGTGGCCCTGAGACGCCAAACTAATTGAGCTATCGTTGACTCATGGACTCTAAATTGCTGGGCGACGAGACGTTGCGATTTGCCTTGTAGAATTCGGGCAATAGCCCTACCCCTATCAACTTCGGACATTCGCGGCATGTTGCTTTTTAATCGCCTTGGAATGAAATGTTGTGCACTGGATGTGTGCTGTTAAAAACTTGGAATTGGTATGGTTTTTAAGTTGATTGCATGTGGTAGTGCTTTGTTGGAAAATCTGTTCAAATCGTGCAGCGTCGCCTGTGGTCACAGTTGACCGAATTTAAACCGACGTTTATTTAGACAGTACACTGAGGTATTTATGTGTCACATTTCACAACATTTGGTCTACGGATAAAAAAGTTATATTACCAAAACTGAACATGCATTTCTTTTTTCCGCTTGTATATATTAAGATGATTGAATTCCTTGAAAATTATTGAATTTCTTTATGTTTTGTTTTAGGCATATTTAAGAGACATTAGTCAGATCAGTCAATAATTCTATAAATTCATCAACATCTAGTCCAGCAACCTACCTTGTCCCTTAGAGCTGGTGTGAGTTTGTTATAAAAAATGTCACTGGGCCGGGCAATGCTAGGTTGTGCATTGGCCTGGGTCGAGCTGCTAACACTGCCAGACTGTGGAGACATTGTGGAACATTCTCATCACAATCTACTTACACAAGACTCATACTCCATGAATAAACAAAATATTGTACAATAGTGAAAAATGAACTTACTTCATATTTACTTTAACCACTGGAAAATGTAATTAATAATGCACAATTTTTTTAATTAAACACTGAATAAAAGACTTCCTGCTTTGTCTTATTTAAAAAATAATCTCAAAGGGAACATATTAGTATCTAAAGGATTTTTTTCTATACAATATCATAAACTTATCCATCACAGCTTCAAAACATTTGCCTGTTGTAACAGAAGATGCATACCTTGGCAGCCTGAGCCAGGGCATCCCTCTGTTGCCAGCGTTTATAGAGACCAAACAGGGGTGAGGCTCCATCCACCCACTGTATAAGTCCAGAACGAGGGCCAAGGGGTGTTACTGAGTAGTGACGTGCTCGATACAATTGTTGGTCGCCACTGAGAGCAAAATAGCACGATACTTTTTATTCTACCTTTCATTTTACAGAGATTCATGCACTAAAATTCTCAGTCTAACAATCTGAATATTTTGGAACCTTTCACAGTAAAATCTTAAGAAAAAGAAATTGAAATCGAAAGTCACCTCAAAATGTTAACATTTTGTTGTAATGTATTGCAAGGCACAATTTGCAGTTCATTTACAGTGTAGAAGGCCTTATTTTCAAGTAAGTATAATTTCACTTGCCATATAATAATTATTTGAGACTCTATTTAGGACCTCACATTCACACCTCATCATCACACCTACCAGTTGATGCAACTGTACATTAATACAACAAACAAATGTTGTATATTTAGAGAGCTACCTAAGTTCTACACCCACAGCATGGGTCAAGCTTGATATAAAATTCCAATTCTGTATAAAGCCAGAGGGGTGAAATGTTTACTTACTTTGAAGCACTGGCAAACATGTTATTGACAATACTGAGAAACTGCATGATCCTTTCGTCCAGATGCAGATCCTCTAGGCCTTTGAACAGGTATGGGTATCTGAAATTAAGAAATATAAATATTAAGTAAAAACATAAATTCATGTCAACACCACATCAGGATCTAACTGAAGATTACATTATATCGTACAAGCCTTGATCAACTATAACAGCATTAGTGGAAAACCACATCAGGATTACAAAACTAAAATTCTCCACCACAAATTATAACTTATATGGCCAGTCATTATATACCCAGCTGTAATTACTGCTGGACCAAGCATATTAAACATTAGTACCCAGCTGTAATTACTGCTGGACCAAGCATATTAAACATTCGTACCCAGCTGTAATTACTGCTGGACCAAGCATATTAAACATTCGTACCCAGCTGTAATTACTGCTGGACCAAGCATATAAAACATTAGTACCCAGCTGTAATTACTGCTGGACCAAGCATATTAAACATTCGTACCCAGCTGTAATTACTGCTGGACCAAGCATATTAAACATTCGTACCCAGCTGTAATTACTGCTGGACCTAGCATATAAAACATTAGTACCCAGCTGTAATTACTGCTGGACCAAGCATATAAAAACATTAGTACCCAGCTGTAATTACCGCTGGACCAAGCATATAAAAACATTAGTACCCAGCTGTAATTACCGCTGGACCAAGCATATAAAAACATTAGTACCCAGCTGTAATTACCGCTGGACCAAGCATATAAAAACATTAGTACCCAGCTGTAATTACCGCTGGACCAAGCATATAAAAACATTAGTACCCAGCTGTAATTACTGCTGGACCAAGCATATAAAAACATTAGTACCCAGCTGTAATTACTGCTGGACCAAGCATATAAAAACATTAGTACCCAGCTGTAATTACTGCTGGACCAAGCATATAAAAACATTAGTACCCAGCTGTAATTACTGCTGGACCAAGCATATAAAAACATTAGTACCCAGCTGTAATTACTGCTGGACCAAGCATATAAAAACATTAGTACCCACCTGTAATTACTGCTGGACCAAGCATATAAAACATTAGTACCCAGCTGTAATTACTGCTGGACCAAGCATATAAAAACATTAGTACCCAGCTGTAATTACTGCTTGACCAAGCATATAAAAACATTAGTACCCAGCTGTAATTACTGTTGGACCAAGCATATAAAAACATTAGTACCCAGCTGTAATTACTGCTGGACCAAGCATATAAAACATTAGTACCCAGCTGTAATTACTGCTGGACCAAGCATATAAAACATTAGTACCCAGCTGTAATTACTGCTGGACCAAGCATATAAAACATTAGTACCCAGCTGTAATTACTGCTGGACCAAGCATGTAACACTTGCAGTATGTAGAGAATTTCTGTTGACACACTTTATAGCCTTCCTCTGTTTGGTCTCTTAACCGGGATTTGATCACAGGAAAAGAAGCAAATAAAATACAAGTTCTCTTACTTTTTGCCATCTGATCCAATGAAAACAAGTTTCTTTGGTTTGGTCTTGGTTGGGAGGATCTGCAGGGTGTTAGACACAGATTCTATTGTTACAACCTAAAGCAGAAAAAGGGAATTTCCTTAATTCAAAAATTAACATTAAACATCAGCTGAAAAACAATGTACCATATAAATATGCTAATATTTATTTTTGTAGGATAGCAATAACAACATAAACATGATATAGAAACAGTAGCAGTAATTACAAAACAGTACACAAGATACATGTACTATACCTGTAAAACTTCAGCAGGAAAGTGACTTTAACCTGGTACATAGTAATAGAGCTATTCCTGTGATCACTTAAGATGCAGTAAATCTACAATAATTCTATTTTAATCTCAGAGTTTAAAGATCACTGTTCATTACTACCATCCACAGAAGATCACCTACCCGTCCTGAGGTACCTAAACCTGGCATGGCAATCACAGTGTTTTTGAGGGAGGCCAATTTTGGACTGATTTTCTCCATCCGAAGTATAAGACTGCTACGTTTCTGGGCCCTCTGCTGCAAACTTGAATGGAGCTAGAAACACAAACATCACATCATGTTAATCTTTTTGTAGCTTAACTTCTAAACCATAAATTTTCAATTTTCATTAATTTCGAAAAAACAGGTATCATATTTTTTGGTCTATCAGCTGCAGGCAATTTGATCCACATATAAGCCACATCGGAATATAAGTTGCATCCTTTCTTATGATATAGTGACCATTATTGTTGACATTTGATATACTGGTGACAGATAATGGAAGGCAGTTCTTACAAAGTGGTAACCGTTATATTGGTTTAAACAATATCTTATTTTCAGATTTTCATTTACAACATACACATACACAAATCATAAAACTGAAAATTGATCTGGCAACAAGATTATAAATCTTATATTAAGCCATCTCCAATATGAAACAGTTACAATAGTACAATTTACATTAAACACATTGAAAGAGATTTCTTTTTTTAACTTAACATTCACTGATGAACACTGACCGTTAATATGTAAACCATAAGGAGATAACATAATTTGATAAGATAGGAGAAAGGAAGAGGTAAAGAGAGCACAAAGAAACTCTATCCGGCACCTAGAATCTACCCGACTCCACGATGTACCTTTGCACCTTTTCAAATATAATGATATTATCATCTTGAGACAGGTTTGGGTCACCATAAATGAGTAATTCTAGTGATAAATTGAAATTTAATGTATCTAGGGTATTTTCTCTAGCTCGATTATAGCGTACACACTGCATCAGATAATGATAAGGAGTTTCAACCTGCCCACATACACATAGATCTGTATCTGAAACATGATTATTATAGAGATGATAATTGAGAGAGCTACATCCAAGACGACGACGAGTGTGCATTACCTGAGCCCAGCACCTGAACCGTTATGTTGACCAAAGTTTGTTGATATAACAGACAACAGAGGACATTCTATCAATGTTGTCTATGGAATATTACATAATGTTTGTTGATATAACAGACAACAGAGGACATTCTATCAATGTTGTCAATGGAATATTACATAATGTTTGCAAATGAATTATACACAGATAATCCTTTATCTTATTGATATATTTCAAAAACATAAAATAGCAAAAATCAAACTTGTTTGCCTTGGATGCCTTCAGATTGTCTACACACAGATCTGGGGCCTGACGTTACTTAATCTCTGCATCAGTGTCTGCACCATTAAATATTAACGAAGGTCTTTGTATGCTGACTAAATTTCTAAAGTCCTATATAATTTCTCTTGTAAGTTACATGAAGCAATTCATATCATAAACAAGCATGGCAGTCATTCTAGAATTTGATGTATAGTCCTTTGTACTATTGATCCCCGGCTGCTGTAAACTTCTGCCATGTAACCAGGAAACTTCATTACATATGATAGGGATTCACATTAAAAGGTATAATCAATCAAATCCACATGAATGATATTTTCGTATCAATATTCATTCTGTATGAGATTGCAAATGACAGTTCAAGATGATTTGTTCCAGTAATATACTTGTGGATTGGTAAGCTACCTAATTTTTTTTCTTTATTATTCATCTCACCAATTTTTTTTTTTCATTCACATATAAGCCACACCGGTATATAAGCTGCATGCCTGACTCACGAGAAAAAAAGGTGCAGCTTAAATATTAGGAGTAAAGGATTTCTGAACATACAAACTTGGGTACTGAAGATAAAATGTCTGCCTTACCTGTTTGAAGTGTTGCCAACTGCTGTTAGGATGGCTTGGATTGGTGGGGTTGCGAAGTTTCTCCATGGCAGCGTTGATGAGTTTACCATAAGTGTCATGAAACCACACCTCATGTGGTGTCTCAGGCACCTCACTGGTAATCTCCTGTAGCTTCTCCATGGTATACAGTGTCTGCAAACAGCAACAATACTGTAAGTTAACTGTAACCCATGTATTGATTCTGCTAACAATAACCAAAATTATATGAATTCTATATCAAACTCATGCCTTGCTTTATTTCAAAGTCAACAAAGAAATGAGGGTTAAGTTATCACACTCAATTCCTAGATATTTTTTTATAAAAAGTAGAGCGGATTTTGTTTATGTTTTTTTACCAGTTGGACCAACATTGCTCATTTACAGGTATGTCTCAGTTTATGCCTGAAATGTTACTTGTGACGAAGAACCAGTTTGTCCAACAACGAGAATAGGCCCTAGGTAACCATGGCCATAGTCTTGACACAAAGAGACAAAAATCATCTCACACCTGAAATTTGAATGAAGTTTGACCAAACCGAAAGACAGCGATATAATCATTAACAAAATCAACCTCAGAAAATGGCTTACGCTTCAAAAATCATGTTAATTGATCAAGGACTTTGAACTTTGATGTCTGAAATCCTACCGGCTTCATAATGGTTCTGTGCTTCTCTTTAATGATGGCCAGTTTTTCATCCTTGGTCAGAGAACTGTTGGCCATGACCTTTTTCACCTCTGCCTCAAGTTGGCTGAGTTTGCGCGAGACATCCTGGTGTTGTTGATTGAGTGTGCCGAGCCAGAGTTCATCCCAGAGCAGAGTGATACGTCGTAACTCTTGTACTAGTTGTTTTACTTCACCTATCATTCTAAAAACAAATTTTGAAATTTGTATGTTTGTTCCATTCATTTACTGATTCAATATTATCATTCCTAGTAATTTTCTTAAATCTTATCAAATAGAATACAAAACAAAACCATTGTATTTTAATTGTAAAAGTAAAACCTAAAAAAGATCTTTAACTTTCATCAAATTTACTTGTTCCAAATGTTATAGAGACATAATTATTTTTGTAAAATTAAATTATTCAAAAGTTTGATAATCTTTACACAATTTAGACTTTTTGTCCATTTACTATAATTTTAACCTTACAGACTTTTTAAGAATTTTATGATATTATAAATGATTAGTAAGACTTGGTTTAAGGTTAGGGTTACCTTGGGTTGTTGACGGCGAGGGTGTCGACAATGGAGGTGAGACAGTTCTGAAGCATGGTGGTAGAGGGGTCCTCTTCCTCCCCTTCCTCCTCCTGGGACTGTTGCTCCTCCTCTCCGCCCTCCTCCAGCTGCTCAGCCAGATAGTTGTTTAGAAGGCCTGTTACAAAACAAAGGAAATTTCAATGTAAAACTATAAAATGTTATGATAAGTAAACAGCGTGTAATATGGGAATCACAGATGCCATTTCCACCAATCAAACTTAAATTTGTAACTTCTGCATAAATGATTAAATCTGCACTATTTTGACAAGGAACTACCACATAAATAATTGCATTTACACCAAAGGTTTATTAAGTTCAAATTTATTCCAGAATCCAGAGAAAGGTGATTTAATTTGTTAGTTTTTGTCAAAAATTTATGCACAAGAGTCTGAATATACATAATAAAGAACTGTTCCATCATCAGATGCATAAGCAATACTTCATTGCTTGAGTTGGTATCTGCCTAGTTAGATGTATTTCAACAGGACAATCAAATTCTATTGCATACAGTTATATATAAACTCACTGTTCCTGTTCTGTTCTTTAGCAAACTTGTCTGTGGATGAGCTTCCTACAACAGCTGGGTACACAATAAGGTGAGGTGCGTCCTGAGCTACACGACACAGTAAGTCAGAGATGCTCTGTCTCACATAAAACTCAGGGTGACTCAACCGTGAAAACAGCTGGGGAATGATGCCTGGAACAGTAACAACCAAGTTTTTCATAAAATGATAGCAAGATAAACTACACAAGATTACACCTGGCTAACCATATAACCCAACCTTCATTTTGACCATTCATCAAAAACTACCAGGGTGAATTATATATCCCATTTATTACAAATAGACAATAATTCAAGCCTAATGAAAGGGATTGAAGTTTTTTAAGTCACACCTTTCCAGGGAGCAGTGGGTGTGCTAGCAAGGCCACTCTCCAGAACATTTCTCAGCTCCCATGCATGCTTAACCAGGAGTCGAAGTAGTCGCAATGTTGCAATCACATTACCATCTTCATCACTCTGAACCACTTCTGTCTGCAAATGGACACAACTGAACGTTATCAAAACCATCAAATGAAATTTTAAACATTCCTAAAGTACTCAAATATAGTAAACACAAATATTTCAGTCATGAAGACATTTACAAACAAACCAGACATCTCAGCAATCAAGCCAGATATCTTACAGTTCCCAAGCAGTAGATCTTTATATATATGTAAGAACCATGGCGATGAAAATAATGTTCATTCATCCCGAGTCTCCTAGCTTTCAACACTGTAGTAAAGTATGACAGTTTTTTCCCTAATGTGTTACCCTTATGTGGTCAGCACCAAAAATGCTGAATCTCTTTACAAGTGCATCCATCCTACTGTTTTATATTTCATGAAACTAGATTCTCTTTCATCTTTCTCAGAAATCACAAGTGGGTTGATAAGAGGAGATGACTCGGGTGTCGTACCAGTCCATTGAGTTGTAGGTAAGTGAAGTAAGCCTTGGCAGACAGTTGGTAGTAGTGATAGACACGATGGACCACTCCCCTCCACACATTCAGAAGAGCTTCTATACAATCATCTGAGGCTATCTGTAGTGACAGGCAGCATGACAACAACTGCTTCCTCGTCGTTTCTGTACCCTCATCACCAAGATCCTGCAAAAAGGCCAACATATTAAGTGTAAGAGTTACTTAAAACCTGTGAGAAATTTTGCCTTCAGGTAGAATATTAAAAAAATTTTAAAAAGACACATATATCAGTCTATTTAGTTTTCATTATGACAGTGTTCTTTAGTTGATCTTGTAAATCAGACATAAAGGGAAACAAATATAGACTCCTGACTTTTTTTATATGAAAAATAAACCCAGTAATGTTACATGACCAGTGATTGGCTGAATTATGAATCAATGAAGTCTTGTTAATATCCCATCTCTTTACTTTGAGGGTATAATTATATATGACAGACTTACCTGGTCCTGCTCCCCTATGTCTTCCTCGTTTGATACCTGTGTGTGTATCTGACTGAGCACACTCAACACCTTGGCTGTTTCCTCATTACTAGTACCCTACAAAATATATTACAATATTCTTATGGTTGTTATCTAAAATGTTCTTGCAAAACTTCCTTCCATAACATCAAGTAATAAATTCTCTAAGTGATATGAGGTTTACATCTTTTCATCAGGAGGTAGGAAAGATTAAGGTTACACCAATTAGCAAATGCCAAATCTTTCTTTTCACAAAAAATGAAATATATTCTGTTCTTTCTCTTACTTTGGGTAGTAGTGACAGGACCTCTGCCTTCTCATCTGTAAGAAGTTCCACTGACCCATGGCTGTAAAATAAAAAAAAATGTTTATACAATGTTCTAGGGTATAGAGGTAAGATGTGATAACAATTATCAAAATAAAATCATTTGTTTACTTTATAATAGTAAGCCTATAAATGTATCAAGAAAAAGTGTTCATTTTAATAATAAAGATTCATGTAAAACAAACAGAAAACCTTCCAGCAAAAGGCCCAGAACATTGAACCATTAATGACCTGGAAAAAACTCAAAAACAGGACCAAGAAACAAGCTCAAAAACAAAGTGTAACCAAAACAGGACAGATCTTAAGATGGGTGCTTTAAGTCCCCTGATCAAGCCATGACATCTAAATGAAGCTATGTGGTTACCTGGCATTGTCAACAGCCTTTCTTCCCCACTTGTAACACCAACTAGCAAGGGAGAACCAGGCCTTACTCAGTGTAGCAGACTCCATTGTTCCCAGGTGAAGGATTCGCCCCACTACACTGTCTATGTCAGACAAGATTGGGTTGTCTCCAATCTTCAGCACTGAAACAAGAAACCACTTTAAACATTATAATTACTGTATAAGTCTTACATATCTGAGAGTAAATTGAATGTACTATAATTGAGTAACTTTGCACTGGCAAAGAATAAACAAAATGACCACTTTTATAATCATAAAATAAAAACAAACAGGCTTCCAACCTTCATCACTGTCTTCCAAAACCAAGCCGAGTTTCTTCCTGGCCCCACGTTCCTCAGTCTCCAGCAAAAGGTTCAGGTTGTGAACCAAAATAGACACATTACTGTCCTTCACTTTGTCCTCTGTAACTCCTGCTATTTTCAGCTGACTAGCAGCACTGACCAGCATCTTGTGGTCCATCTGTAGCCACTTGACCAATGTGAGGAGTGACCTGGCTGACAACTCACTACAATTAACTAAGCTTGTCTTGTCCTTGACTTCTGCTTGAAGGTCACTACAAATGTACCCCACCACACTACTGCTTAACACATTAATGCTGTCCTTGTTTTGACCAATGCTGTGAAGGAGTTTTGAACCTTCACGTTCCACCTTCAGGATGTCCAACTGGCTTATGGCTCGATTTGGTGAACGGAGTCCAGTCAGTGCTGGCAGCAGGCAATCTACATCAACCATTCGACCATTGTCTGAAGTTTCCTTCATCATTGTACCTATCTGACGAAGAAGTAAGTCCTCTGCTAGGTTGAAGTTGCTCTGTTTACGTGCTAGTGAAGCTGTGGACAGTCGCAGCTGGAACAACTGATTCTTCAGGCCTGTGAAAAGTATTGTTATAATTCTCTTTTTCACTTCAGTTAATACTGAGACCACTCTTAAGTTAGGGGAATTCAAAAGATGAGAATATTTTCAAACAGGAAATAAACCCATGAAAATTAACAAAATTAACCTGAGTTACAATGCTGTCATTCTTCTTGTAACATGTCATAGAAATAATCTTGTTAATACAGCTAGATAACTGATGTAAACTGTGTATAACATTGACTGCCATCCCATGCTAAGGCTTCTAACCACCTATGTATTAAAAGATATTGCATTCAAAAATGCAATTATCTTTTTTAAACATTTAAAACATTCATGAGCAGTATTTAATAGATCATGTTCTATAGTAACAAATTTAAGCAAGTTTGAACTATTTCCAACTGAATATAAACAAATTATGCTCAAAAATGTCATTTTCTAAATAAGCTATAGTAAACTTTTCTCCTCCCCAGGGGGAAATGTGGGATCCTTGGGTCATTAAATTTACAATTTAAGTAAAGGCCTTTCAATCCATGAAGAGTATTTGAATCTACCATAGTTTCAATGAATTTGACCCTTTTTGGTCCTATACAAACAAAATGTACTATACTGAGAAAGTCCAATGACAACAACTCACCAGTGTGTGTGTCCTGGCCTGGAAGCTGCTGCTGTAGAAGCAGCAGCCTCTGTATCTGCAGGAAAGTATTAACATCATGCTCCTCTTCCTCAAATTTTAGGTTCTCATTTAATGGCAACAGTACAACCTAAAAATATACAATCAGTAGAAATCTGCTCTATCTTTACATTACAGTAGGCAAACTTAACAAAATCTTAATTTGGAAAACTGTCCCAACAACATACAATTATTGTGATTTTGGTTACAACATTCAATTATAGTGATTTTGGTTACAACATTCAATTATTGTGATTTTGGTTACAACATTCAATTATTGTGCATTCAATTATTGTGATTTTGGTTACAACATTCAATTATTGTGCATTCAATTATTGTGATTTTGGTTACAACATTCAATTATTGTGATTTTGGTTACAACATTCAATTATTGTGCATTCAATTATTGTGATTTTGGTTACAACATACAATTATTGTGATTTTGGTTACAACATTCAATTACATTCAATTATTGATTTTGGCAATTATTGTGATTTTGGTTACAATTATTGTGATTTTGGTTACAACATTCAATTATTGTGATTTTGGTTACAACATTCAATTATTGTGCATTCAATTATTGTGATTTTGGTTACAACATTCAATTATTGTGCATTCAATTATTGTGATTTTGGTTACAACATTCAATTATTGTGCATTCAATTATTGTGATTTTGGTTACAACATTCAATTATTGTGATTTTGGTTACAACATTCAATTATTGTGATTTTGGTTACAACATTCAATTATTGTGCATTCAATTATTGTGATTTTGGTTACAACATTCAATTATTGTGCATTCAATTATTGTGATTTTGGTTACAACATTCAATTATTGTGATTTTGGTTACAACATTCAATTATTGTGCATTCAATTATTGTGATTTTGGTTACAACATTCAATTATTGTGATTTTGGTTACAACATTCAATTATTGTGATTTTGGTTACAACATTCAATTATTGTGATTTTGGTTACAACATTCAATTATTGTGATTTTGGTTACAGCATTCAATTATTGTGATTTTGGTTACAACATTCAATTATTGTGATTTTGGTTACAACATTCAATTATTGTGCATTCAATTATTGTGATTTTGGTTACAACATTCAATTATTGTGATTTTGGTTACAACATTCAATTATTGTGATTTTGGTTACAACATTCAATTATTGTGATTTTGGTTACAACATTCAATTATTGTGATTTTGGTTACAGCATTCAATTATTGTGATTTTGGTTACAACATTCAATTATTGTGATTTTGGTTACAACATTCAATTATTGTGCATTCAATTATTGTGATTTTGGTTACAACATTCAATTATTGTGATTTTGGTTACAACATTCAATTATTGTGATTTTGGTTACAACATTCAATTATTGTGATTTTGGTTACAACATTCAATTATTGTGATTTTGGTTACAACATTCAATTATTGTGATTTTGGTTACAACATTCAATTATTGTGATTTTGGTTACAGCATTCAATTATTGTGATTTTGGTTACAACATTCAATTATTGTGATTTTGGTTACAACATTCAATTATTGTGCATTCAATTATTGTGATTTTGGTTACAACATTCAATTATTGTGATTTTGGTTACAACATTCAATTATTGTGATTTTGGTTACAACATTCAATTATTGTGATTTTGGTTACAACATTCAATTATTGTGCATTCAATTATTGTGATTTTGGTTACAACATTCAATTATTGTGATTTTGGTTACAACATTCAATTATTGTGATTTTGGTTACAACATTCAATTATTGTGATTTTGGTTACATTACGTGATTGCCATGTTCATTTCTGTCAAAAAAAAAAACCAGGCCTTTGAAAGTGCCTCAGTGAGGTGGTTTCCTGTGTTCTCGTGGTAGACATACAGATTAACATATACAAATTTTCGCACCAGTAACATGATTAGAGAATCTACCAGACCCTGACCTTGTTTTTCTTGTCATCTAGTTGTTGGCGGAGAGTTACGATGGTGGCTAGTTCTGTGAGAGTCTGTTGGGACATGAGAAGTGGCCACTCCATCGACTGGATCCTCAGCATGTTTTCAGCAAGTTTCTCCCCGTGGACAAGACAGCGAACCATATCAGTCCTGTGAAACAGCCAGGATACAACTAAACACTTATCGGTAAAAAAACTATCATTCTTGTAAATCAGAGTTTACTCAATACTATATACATACTTAATTTAGCACAGTCAAATTAGAGTGCTTTATCACTTTTTGGCAAATTAGCACAATGATAAATTCATGCATCAGTAACAATTGCTATATATAAAACAACAAGTGAAAATTGCATAAAAAACGCTAAAGTAAGATTACCTGGTACCACAAAGATAATATGATCTACATTATTACAATACATGTGGTTTTATACAATTAAATATCAACTAAACAGCTTGTATATGTATTTTATCCCAGGGAGTGGTTTCTTTGCAAAATGGGTGTAATCTGTCAAATTATCTATTCTACAAAGTCTTCTTTGTCCAGTACACATTGTCTTTGTCCAGTACACATTGTCTTTGATTGAGTATCAGACTTACTTGCTACTAGATTGTTCCATCATCAGTGAAGCCACCTGAATAAAGTTCCTGTGGACCTGGTCCAGTTTCTGAGTTTGACTCCACAGTGGTGGTGTGTGGGCCTTGTCTGTCTTACTGATGTCAGACACCCCTGGGACAAGCTCCAGGTTCTCTCTCACACCTATATAGTCCTCACGTTCAAATGATGATAATGCCCTGAAACAAGATCATCAAAACTCAAATTCATCCATCCCATTTTTTTTCATATCAATATCAATACAAATTAATTATTTTTCAAAAGAGACAACTACAGAAATATCAAATAATGAGAAATCAGTAATTTTAAAAGTAGATTTAAACCAAAAACAATTTTCTTGTCATTTTCATTCAAGGTTTGTTTGCTGTATTGATCACACCATCAGCCAGGATCATTTGATGGTTTCCTTGTAATGACTGGTGGCTACCTCACTGAACAACCTTTAGGAGGTCTGTAGCAATCTAGAGAGAATGGGGTAAAATGGCACAACCATGTCAAAATAGACTAGTCAGTTTCTCAGTTTCCCAAGAAATACAAACTCCCACAGGTACAGAGCACTGTACTATGCATCTCAGACCTTCACCTGCAGTTGTGCCTACTGAGATATTATAGCCTACATCTGTAAACCATTACTATCAAATAATGGATTATAATACACCAACCCACAGGTTCCTATATAACAGCATATACATTTGTTCTGAGCAATTTGTAGGACACCTACTTGATGTAGTTCATGTCAACGTTGGTTTTGAAGGCAGACTGAACATCACTGTGACTGGTATCCTGGCGATATTCTACAACCCTGTCCTGCCATTCCAGCACTGACTCCCAGTCACCTAGTCTTTGATAACAGTCTACCACCTGGTCACAATATATAGAAGATGATAACTTTATAGGTATAATAAACAAAGTCTTTACATATTACCTTATAACAAGAAAGATCCACACTTATCAAAATCAACATTACTGTGCATATTAGCTAATTAATACAAAAAGCAAAAAAAAAAACAAAAAAAAACTACTGCACTGACCCTCCACAGATTATGTTGTAATAATCCGACCCCAGATTATCATCAATCTTTTTTACTTATAGAGTAAATGTAAGATAAAATATTACTGTAAATTGTTACAACTTAAATACATTGTTATTATTTCAGTAAGTCTGCTAATTAGGTAAAATGTCGTACAACACAGTATACCTGATTGACGACCATGTTGAGTTTGTTGATCTGAACAGAGGAGTCATGCTGTTGCTGTGTTTGTTGTGTCTGAGCAGTCTGTTTACTGAGAATTCCGGTGATTCTCTTGGGCATCATTAGCTCACCGGCTGCCCGACCACCCTCAATGTCAACTCTCAAGTCCTCAGAGCTGTCCGAGGAAAGCATGGTCTTCAAAACAGACTTGAATTCCACTGCTGCATTTTCATACCTAAAATATAACAGAGCTTTGATGTCAATTTTCATTCCATCCTGGTATCAACTAAAATACAAAGTCGTTTGAAAATACAAACAGTCAATACCATAATAATTCCTATGTGTATGGTAAAATACCAACAGAGAATTCCATAATAATCCCAATGTGTATGGTAAGTGACCAACAGACAATTCCATAATAATCCCTATGTGTATGGTAAGTGACCAACAGACAATTCCATAATAATCTCTATGTGTATGGTAAGTGACCAACAGACAATTCCATAATAATCCCTATGTGTATGGTAAGTGACCAACAGACAATTCCATAATAATCCCTATGTGTATGGTAAGTGACCAACAGACAATTCCATAATAATTCCTATGTGTATGGTAAAATACCAACAGACAATTCCATAATAATCCCTATGTGTATGGTAAGTGACCAACAGACAATTCCATAATAATCCCTATGTGTATGGTAAGTGACCAACAGACAATTCCATAATAATCCCTATGTGTATGGTAAGTGACCAACAGATAATTCCATAATAATCCCTATGTGTATGGTAAGTGACCAACAGACAATTCCATAATAATCCCTATGTGTATGGTAAGTGACCAACAGACAATTCCATAATAATCCCTATGTGTATGGTAAGTGACCAACAGATAATTCCATAATAATCCCTATGTGTATGGTAAGTGACCAACAGACAATTCCATAATAATCCCTATGTGTATGGTAAGTGACCAACAGACAATTCCATAATAATCCCTATGTGTATGGTAAGTGACCAACAGACAATTCCATAATATTCCCTATGTGTATGGTAAGTGACCAACAGATAATTCCATAATAATCCCTATGTGTATGGTAAGTGACCAACAGACAATTCCATAATAATCCCTATGTGTATGGTAAGTGACCAACAGACAATTCCATAATAATCCCTATGTGTATGGTAAAATAGCAACAGACAATTCCATAATAATCCCTATGTGTATGGTAAGTGACCAATAATGGAGCAAGTCATAAAATGTTTGAGAGGTAAATTCCTTCAGAATGTCTATTCATTTTAAATCCTTAAAACCTGTAAACTTGTATTACCGTCCTGAAGCTTTCTCTACAGCAGCCTTGATCAATGAAACCTTCTTGCCAGTGAGGTCCTTACACCATGTGTAGAGTCCCATCACAGCATCTGCTTGTTTCAGGTCACACAAAGCTTGTACCAGGTATACAAGCGTCTGCTCGAACTCTGGAGTCTACAAAATAACAGGGTAATCAAGATCTTCAACACAATACATTTTGTACATAAATAGACATTACAGGGCTAATATTGGGCTACATTTTGTACTCCAATGACATTATGGAGAATGATTCTGTGCTACATTTTGTACTTCAAGGAACAAATGAGGCTAATATTCCTTCTTGAATCATCTTGCATCAGTATAATTTCCAAAATTTGCAGTCTACTCTTTGAAAGCTTGTTTCAAAAAAGGTAAACTTCCTTAACAAAAAATAAAGCCACAAAAAAGCCAAAACTGAACAAAAATGATAGAAACAGTCCTACTAACAAGCCAACTATAATTAAATGTCAGCTACAAAACAAAGTGGAGTATATCAATTCTTAGGGCAAGGTTTCTAAATGTTCATCATAAGGTCTAATTATCACCTTATCATTGTTCTATTTTCTATGTTCTAAATGCTACACATATTATTGACTTTACATGTGTGTTGTTGTTTTCCTTCATATCCCTCAGCAGCTCATGAGCCTGTCTCACAGCCATGGCTGGCATCCCAGCAGGCAATGCTATCTTGATAATGCTGGACCGAATTCTCGATAACCATTCCAAGCAAGTGGCTTTGTTTGTTCGGAAGAATGTTCGAACAACCTAAAATAAAACAATGGAAATACATGTATAGGAGTACTACTATTGTGTTGTTCTCAATATTAATTTCTATTGTGTGCTGTGCTTGACATTACCTAGTAGCTATTCAAGTCAATGGTATGCTCTCTACACCCAAAATCTTAAGAGGTTCTCTTATACAAGATTAGTCTACTGAGGTGACAGGTGATGTAATAAATGTCCCCAATACACCGGTTTAAAAGAATGAAAGGGACAAAACTCTATATCTAAAAGGGTATAAGCCTCAGTTTTGATAGGTAACAGGCTGCTATTCCAAGATTGTCACACTAGGAAAATTTTGTCTACATAGGTAGTATCATTAGTTGACAAATTAAGTGACTTTTTGAATATTCAATAAATAATAACAAAATGGTACGAAAAAACCAAGTAAACCATAATATAGAACACTTTCCAAAACAAATATCAATAATTACTATACTGAGAAAAAGTGGGATACTTTGGAAATATTAACCAACGCTAGCTTACCTTGGGTGCCATTGGCATTGCAGCTGCACAGCCCTCATATGCATTGTAGAGTAACTTCTCCAACTGTTCCATAAAGGACAAAAGAAGTTGGACCCTAAGATGGCATCCCACCTGTCCACTCTTCTCTCCGGCTGTATAAAATAGTACATATAAGTCCATACGTATTTATTGCTGCTAAATAACGATATGTACAGATGCTTTCTTGATTCTACAATAATCCCGCCCTCAAACTTTGAGTCAGAATTTTTGCGTCAACCTCATGGGTTTATTGTAGGAAAACTCACAGTAATGATATAAAATATAATATAATTGCAATCAAACACCATAACCAAACAAGAGATCTCAGAGAGATCTTGGCCCCCACCATTGTTAGATTTATATGATCGTTGAAAGTTGGATCTTTTCCCTTCTCTTTTCTTTTCTTCTCTGTTTTTGCTCTTAGTGATAAGCCATTTGAACATTCCTTTGCAGAACTAGCGATGATAATCTTTACATGCCAAATTCAAACTGGCAACCTGGAAGCTATTTTGTTTCTTCTGATCAGTCCCAAAATCAAAAGGGCACAAGGAGAGACCGAAAGGAATATACATATGAAATTTGAGAGATATCCATTTAGTACTTCTTAAGAAATAGCAATAACAATCTTAAATCCATGATGGCTGCCTGTCTGTCAACCATTTTATTTTTCTGATCAGTCCCAAACTCAAACAGGCACAACAAAAGACCTAAATGAACCTATACAAGAAATTTGAGACAGATCTATGCTTTAGTACTCAAGAAATAGCGATACCAAACTTTCAAAGTCAAAATCAAAACTGTCTCAGCCATTTTGTTTTTTGATCAGACCAAAATCAAATGAGTACAACTAGAGACCAAGGGGAACCTACATATGAAATTTAAGAAAGGTCCATCCATAACTTCTCAAGAAATAGCCATATCAAAAACTGTTTACAGACAGGTAGACGGACCATGGATGCAGAGCGATTTGAATAGCCAACCATCTGATGAGAGTGGGCTAAAAATGTAAGACTAACTGGGATCAAACACCATGAACTAACAACAAGTATGGTTTGTGAAATAAAAATCTTTTTATATGATAGCTTATTTTGCACGGACATATATTGACCCATAATTTCAAAGTTGCATGGATGGTCTAAATGGTCTCTGAATATATTGCTATACCTAATCATTTTTCTTTATATTAAAGACTGTAATATGTACTTGATTTAAAGAGCTGACTGTTATTTTAGTTTCAAACTAAAATGAATAAACTTGTAATTTCTGCATATCTAGATGATCAATTACATATACAAACAATCACTAATCAGCAAGAATAAATATGACTTTTCTGATCACAAACTCATCAGACTTTTAGTTACCTTTCTTATGGTCTCCCTTTGATTTTTCTGTGTCCTCCTGTAGGTGGCTCTGCATGTCAATGGCAACTGTCTTGATTACACTCTCTATTGATGTGAAAGTGTCCTGAGGTTTACCAAGTGGTGTTCTCAGACGGTTTAATACACAATACTGAGCTGCCTCCCAAGTAGCCCAGAACCATAACATTCCTTCATTGCCATCCACCTACATAAAGGTACATGGCAACCAGTGAGTTCCATATCAAATAACTTGCTACAATTATAATCAATTTTTCATATTTTTTAATTCCAATTTAGTCCATACAATTTGATTGTATATTTCAGCATTTTGAATGTGGTTAAAAATCATTTGGTATAGACTGTTGTGTCACCCTTTAAAATAACAAGCAAAACAACTACAAACTGGAGAGACACGAATGTAGACCAGAACTCTTCAGGAATGCTAACTTGGAAATTTTATTACAATGTAATGTATTTGACAGTTTAAATTTTGCACAATTTTCAGGGTGCTGTGAAATTCTAGGATTACTACCGATGAAGGGAAGGTGTGAACGACACACTTACTATAGTATTGAACAAAGTATTGATACTATTGTATTGAAGTATTCAAATAATCGAGTCAAGTATACAACGACCTCTGTGATTGGTCGGGGGCGGAGTTTAGACAACCTGAATAGTTGATCTGACATCCAATTTGTTCCGGTAGGCGGAGTTATTGTACACTATCAGTTACATAACAATTACTAAGTAATCGCTGGAAAAATGTCCGACGACGGCAACAGTACGCAAAATTTTCTTCGACGAAATTATGTCCGATACGAACGATATGGGGAATCCTGTTTTTGTACAAGGCGATGTGGTTGTGATGGATAATTGTGGATTCCATCACCGTAGACAGGGAGAGCGCATTTTAAGAAATATGCTGAAAGAATATGGCGTGTCCCTGGTTTTTCAGCCGCCTTATTCCCCGGAATACAACGTAACTGAATATGTATTCAATGTCATGAGACAGAGGCTTCGGGCAAATACCCAACTTGTGTCAGAATTTCTGGAACTTGCAGTAGTAAATGCTCTAGATATTCCGCCCAACCAACTTCAAAGTTTTTTCACATGTTGCGGATATGTATAATTTTCGATGGAAAGATAAAAAATAAAATAAAAAATATATGGGACCACAGAATTCCTTTATTTTTTAATGCAGTATGAATTATCGGCATATATCAGGAGGTCCCAGGTAATTCGTAATTCTTTGTTACATATAATAGAGCTTGGGCTTAAACTGAAATATTTTGAGCCAACCCTTCCCCCCCCCCCCCTTTCAAAAAAATAAATAAATAAATAAAACTAGTACAGAATGACTATATGACTATATTCACTGTTAAGATGTTATGAATTCTCCGGTCCCAGTGATCTAACCTGTTGATATATATTTTGTACGTAAATTAGTTTAGTACTGAGTAATTTTCGTTTTCTCGTTGTACCATCGATGGAAAAGCAAGGTATCATTGGGTGTAGAACGAAAAAAATGGGACAACCCAATTAGGTCTGATCTGAAGCCACCTGTGACTTGGACTCTTCCAATTAACCTCTCGCGACAGTCGAGTGTTTGTAAAATGCCGATGTCTGCACAGTATTTTTTCACCTGGCTCCACCCACAATCGATCTAGACTTGGCTCTGCCAATCAGAGAGCTTGTTGCATAAATTTAAGGAATTCGATTGGTGAAGTACTTCAGTACAATACTATCAATACTTTGTTCAGTACTACAGTACTTGAAACGTTCACACCTTCCCTTCATCGGTAGTAAGAGTACTCATTCTTACAAAGTCTCTGAGATTGAAGCTGTCAGATGAATGTCGTGGGTCCTGTGTTGAAGGCTGGCAGCTATAGAACATTGCCTCTAGCCAATTCCAACTTCCAGATTGTCTGTATATAAAGGGATATATCAGAAAAATATAGTTATGAGAAAAAAGTCAAATGGAGACACACAGAGTTACATTTGGATACATAAATACATTTGAACCCTGAGACAAGGTCATTCATTTGAATAACTTGTTAGCCTTTCATCCCACCATCAAACCAACCCAATACCAGTGCCCTTGGGCATCATTGAAATGTCTTTTGTACATTTGACCTCTGTGACCCTGAAAATTTGTCATTTTTGACATACTGGCAGCAACTTACACAGGTTGTGTATTGTTGAGGATGAAGGCCATCACATGCCTGAAGTTAAGAGAGTGGAAACCCCCGCTAGGGATCTTATTCATGTGATACCCCTTAGCAAGCCAAGCCGCAGTGACTCCTTCAGCTCCCTCCTGTAAACTGACCGCCTGGTCACTATCATCACACAGGTGTAACAGGCTAGTCAGTCTGAAAAATAAACCCCACATATATCAAATATTTGGAACAATCAATACTGCAGCATGATTGCATAACAACATATTTCTGTACAACCATTTCATGAAATTTACTCTCCTTTTCAGGACAAAAATTTTCACTAAAAAGGAATAAATGTAAATGTTAAACTTCAAAAAGAAAGCTGGCATTATTTCACTGCAGCTTCTTACACAAGTACAACAGAATCTGTAAAAGCATTATATCCAGTGGTTTTAAGGTGTCTCACCTAGTTGTAACATTTACTGGGAGGAGTTTGAGTAATCTGAAGAATGCCTCTCTAACCGCCATCCTGTTGTCTGTCAGCTTATACACACTCAACTTGACACTTCTGAAACACAGCATCAGGACCAACATCAGCACACAAGTCTTTAAACAACAGCAGGCCTAGGCTTTAAAATAAACCCACAAGATTCTACTACTGTTCCTACAAAACTGCATCGTCACTGTCCTGTAATAGGTCTACCTCTTGACTTTGAGAATATTTGTTTCATCACTGCTTTGTAATAGGTCCATTTCTTGACTTTGAGAATATTTGTTTCATCACTGCTTTGTAATAATACCTATTGATCTTATAATAAAATGTATAATACATATATATTTTCATCTTCTTGATATCAAATACTGTTTGGAATCAAATTTTAAGGTTCTACAAAAAGACACCATATGGAACACAAATTGAAGTCTTAATGTTCTCAATACTGATTAATAAGAGGTATCAATTCTTACTTCTGCATTATAGATGATGGTAAATTGTTGTTCATCCTGAAGATATTCTGTAGACACAGACAGATAGCCATGGTGGTCTGGAGGTCCTGACTGTGACCTGTACAAAACAACACACAAACATTAGACACAGACAGATAGCCATGGTGGTCTGGAGGTCCTGACTGTGACCTGTACAAAACAACACACAAACATTAGACACAGACAGATAGCCATGGTGGTCTGGAGGTCCTGACTGTGACCTGTACAAAACAACACACAAACATTAGACACAGACAGATAGCCATGGTGGTCTGGAGGTCCTGACTGTGACCTGTACAAAACAACACACAAACATTAGACACAGACAGATAGCCATGGTGGTCTGGAGGTCCTGACTGTGACCTGTACAAAACAACACACAAACATTAGACACAGACAGATAGCCATGGTGGTCTGGAGGTCCTGACTGTGACCTGTACAAAACAACACACAAACATTAGACACAGACAGATAGCCATGGTGGTCTGGAGGTCCTGACTGTGACCTGTACATAACAACAAACAAAGACTAGACACAGACAGATAGCTATGGTGGTCTGGAGGTCCGGACTGTGACCTGTACATAACTACACACAAACATTAGACACAGACAGATAGCTATGGTGGTCTGAAGGTCCTAACTGTGACCTGTACAAAACAACACACAAAGACTAGACACAGACAGATAGCTATGGTGGTCTGGAGGTCCTGACTGTGACCTGTACAAAACAACACACAAAGACTAGACACAGACAGATAGCCATGGTGGTCTGAAGGTCCTAACTGTGACCTGTACAAAACAACACACAAAGACTAGACACAGACAGATAGCTATGGTGGTCTGAAGGTCCTGACTGTGACCTGTACATAACTACACCAAACATTAGACACAGACAGATAGCTATGGTGGTCTGAAGGTCCTAACTGTGACCTGTACATAAATACACACAAACATTAGACACAGACAGATAGCCATGGTGGTCTGAAGGTCCTGACTGTGACCTGTACATAACTACACACTAACATTAGACACAGACAGATAGCCATGGTGGTCTGGAGGTCCTGACTGTGACCTGTACAAAACAACACACAAACATTAGACACAGACAGATAGCCATGGTGGTCTGGAGGTCCTGACTGTGACCTGTACAAAACAACACACAAACATTAGACACAGACAGATAGCCATGGTGGTCTGGAGGTCCTGACTGTGACCTGTACATAACTACACACAAACATTAGACACAGACAGATAGCCATGGTGGTCTGGAGGTCCTGACTGTGACCTGTACATAACTACACACAAACATTAGACACAGACAGATAGCCATGGTGGTCTGGAGGTCCTGACTGTGACCTGTACATAACTACACACAAACTATCAAATACTGCTTTATACACATGAAAATAGTTAGACAAATGTATAAATGAAATGTTTTCCTGACTTTCTGTGAAGGATATTAATCTTTCATCAAACCAATACCTGATAAGAATCTAACACATGTAGGTATCAGTCCAGTAGAATACCAACCAATGCTTTATCATTATTTAGTAATAAGCCCACCTCCTCACCTAATGTTGGAGGTTATGTGTTGGGCTTACTACAGGATAACTGTGGTGCTATATACAATACAACATATGATACACAATTACCAGATCACTTACCCAGGTGTATAACAACCCTGATGAGGACAACAAAGTCATCCATGGAGAAGATATGAGTGCTACTATTTAGACTTGAGATGATGTCCCCAATCCACTTCAGGCAAAGACAACTGTGTAACACAAACAAATTTTCTTATTTGATAGAATACAGTGTTATATATCAATACTCAGTAAATTTCATTGTTTTATAACCAATTCTCAGAAAAGTTATTTCATATCTGATACTCAGTAAAGCTGTAATATCTGATACTCAGTAAAGCTGTTATATCTCTGATACTCAGTAAAGCTGTTATATCCCTGATACTCAGTAAAGCTGTAATATCTGATATTCAGAAAAGCTGTTATATCTCTGATATTCAGTAAAACTGTTATATCCGATACTCAGTAAAGCTGTTATATCCCTGATACTCAGTAAAGCTGTAATATCTCTGATACTCAGTAAAGCTGTTATATCCCTGATACTCAGTAAAGCTGTTATATCCCTGATACTCAGTAAAGCTGTAATATCTCTGATACTCAGTAAAGCTGTTATATCCCTGATACTCAGTAAAGCTGTTATATCCCTGATACTCAGTAAAGCTGTTATATCCCTGATACTCAGTAAAGCTGTAATATCTCTGATATTCAGTAAAGCTGTTATATCCCTGATACTCAGTAAAGCTGTAATATCTGATATTCAGAAAAGCTGTTATATCTCTGATATTCAGTAAAACTGTTATATCCGATACTCAGTAAAGCTGTTATATCCCTGATACTCAGTAAAGCTGTAATATCTCTGATACTCAGTAAAGCTGTTATATCCCTGATACTCAGTAAAGCTGTTATATCCCTGATACTCAGTAAAGCTGTAATATCTCTGATACTCAGTAAAGCTGTTATATCCCTGATACTCAGTAAAGCTGTTATATCCCTGATACTCAGTAAAGCTGTTATATCCCTGATACTCAGTAAAGCTGTAATATCTCTGATACTCAGTAAAGCTGTTATATCCCTGATACTCAGTAAAGCTGTAATATCTCTGATACTCAGTAAAGCTGTTATATCCCTGGCACTCAGTAAAGCTGTTATATCTCTGATACTCAGTAAAGCTGTTATATCCCTGATACTCAGTAAAGCTGTTATATCTCTGATACTCAGTAAAGCTGTTATATCCCTGATACTCAGTAAAGCTGTTATATCCCTGATACTCAGTAAAGCTGTTATATCCCTGATACTCAGTAAAGCTGTTATATCCCTGATACTCAGTAAAGCTGTTATATCCCTGATACTCAGTAAAGCTGTTATATCCCTGATACTCAGTAAAGCTGTTATATCCCTGATACTCAGTAAGCTGTTATATCCCTGGCACTCAGTAAAGCTGTTATATCCCTGGCACTCAGTAAAGCTGTTATATCCCTGATACTCAGTAAAGCTGTTATATCCCTGGCACTCAGTAAAGCTGTTATATCCCTGATACTCAGTAAAGCTGTTATATCCCTGATACTCAGTAAAGCTGTTATATCCCTGATACTCAGTAAAGCTGTTATATCCCTGGCACTCAGTAAAGCTGTTATATCCCTGGCACTCAGTAAAGCTGTTATATCCCTGGCACTCAGTAAAGCTGTTATATCCCTGATACTCAGTAAAGCTGTTATCCCTGGCACTCAGTAAAGCTGTTATATCTCTGATACTCAGTAAAGCTGTTATATCTCTGATACTCAGTAAAGCTGTTATATCCCTGGCACTCAGTAAAGCTGTTATATCTCTGATACTCAGTAAAGCTGTTATATCCCTGATACTCAGTAAAGCTGTTATATCCCTGATACTCAGTAAAGCTGTTATATCCCTGATACTCAGTAAAGCTGTTATATCCCTGGCACTCAGTAAAGCTGTTATATCCCTGGCACTCAGTAAAGCTGTTATATCCCTGGCACTCAGTAAAGCTGTTATATCCCTGATACTCAGTAAAGCTGTTATCCCTGGCACTCAGTAAAGCTGTTATATCTCTGATACTCAGTAAAGCTGTTATATCTCTGATACTCAGTAAAGCTGTTATATCCCTGGCACTCAGTAAAGCTGTTATATCTCTGATACTCAGTAAAGCTGTTATATCTCTGATACTCAGTAAAGCTGTTATATCCCTGATACTCAGTAAAGCTGTTATATCCCTGGCACTCAGTAAAGCTGTTATATCCCTGGCACTCAGTAAAGCTGTTATATCCCTGGCACTCAGTAAAGCTGTTATATCCCTGGCACTCAGTAAAGCTGTTATATCTCTGATACTCAGTAAAGCTGTTATATCCCTGGCACTCTGTAAAGCTGTTATATCTCTGATACTCAGTAAAGCTGTTATATCCCTGGCACTCAGTAAAGCTGTTATATCTCTGATACTCAGTAAAGCTGTTATATCCCTGATACTCAGTAAAGCTGTTATATCCCTGATACTCAGTAAAGCTGTTATATCCCTGGCACTCAGTAAAGCTGTTATATCCCTGGCACTCAGTAAAGCTGTTATATCCCTGGCACTCAGTAAAGCTGTTATATCCCTGATACTCAGTAAAGCTGTTATCCCTGGCACTCAGTAAAGCTGTTATATCTCTGATACTCAGTAAAGCTGTTATATCTCTGATACTCAGTAAAGCTGTTATATCCCTGGCACTCAGTAAAGCTGTTATATCTCTGATACTCAGTAAAGCTGTAATATCTCTGATACTCAGTAAAGCTGTTATATCCCTGGCACTCAGTAAAGCTGTTATATCCCTGGCACTCAGTAAAGCTGTTATATCCCTGGCACTCAGTAAAGCTGTTATATCCCTGATACTCAGTAAAGCTGTTATATCCCTGGCACTCAGTAAAGCTGTTATATCCCTGATACTCAGTAAAGCTGTTATCCCTGGCACTCAGTAAAGCTGTTATATCTCTGATACTCAGTAAAGCTGTTATATCCCTGGCACTCAGTAAAGCTGTTATATCCCTGGCACTCAGTAAAGCTGTTATATCCCTGATACTCAATAAAGCTGTTATATCCCTGGCACTCAGTAAAGCTGTTATATCCCTGATACACAGTAAAGCTGTTAAATCCCTGATACTCAGTAAAGCTGTTATATCCCTGGCACTCAGTAAAGCTGTTATATCCCTGATACTCAGTAAAGCTGTTATCCCTGGCACTCAGTAAAGCTGTTATATCTCTGATACTCAGTAAAGCTGTTATATCCCTGGCACTCAGTAAAGCTGTTATATCCCTGGCACTCAGTAAAGCTGTTATATCCCTGATACTCAGTAAAGCTGTTATATCTCTGATACTCAGTAAAGCTGTTATATCTCTGATACTCAGTAAAGCTGTTATATCCCTGGCACTCAGTAAAGCTGTTATATCCCTGGCACTCAGTAAAGCTGTTATATCCCTGATACTCAGTAAAGCTGTTATATCCCTGATACTCAGTAAAGCTGTTATATCCCTGGCACTCAGTAAAGCTGTTATATCCCTGGCACTCAGTAAAGCTGTAATATCTCTGATACTCAATAAAGCTGTTATATCCCTGGCACTCAGTAAAGCTGTTATATCCCTGATACTCAGTAAAGCTGTTATATCCCTGATACTCAGTAAAGCTGTTATATCCCTGATACTCAGTAAAGCTGTTATATCCCTGATACTCAGTAAAGCTGTTATATCCCTGATACTCAGTAAAGCTGTTATATCTCTGATACTCAGTAAAGCTGTTATATCCCTGATACTCAGTAAGCTGTTATATCCCTGATACTCAGTAAAGCTGTTATATCCCTGATACTCAGTAAAGCTGTTATATCTCTGATACTCAATAAAGCTGTTATATCCCTGGCACTCAGTAAAGCTGTTATATTCCTGATACTCAGTAAAGCTGTTATATCCCTGATACTCAGTAAAGCTGTTATATCCCTGATACTCAGTAAAGCTGTTATATCCCTGGCACTCAGTAAAGCTGTTATATCCCTGATACTCAGTAAAGCTGTTATATCTCTGATACTCAGTAAAGCTGTAATATCCCTGATACTCAGTAAAGCTGTAATATCTCTGATACTCAGTAAAGCTGTTATATCCCTGATACTCAGTAAAGCTGTTATATCCCTGGCACTCAGTAAAGCTGTTATATCCCTGGCACTCAGTAAAGCTGTTATATCCCTGATACTCAGTAAAGCTGTTATATCCCTGATGTTCAGTAAAGCTGTTATATCGCTGCTACTCTTTAAAAATATTATGTCCTAAGCACTCACCGACTATCGTAGGATGTACTGTTGCTGTCCAGGAGTCCTGTTAGTAGTCTAAGAATCCGTGAGAAATTGTTGCTGGTAGTCGGACTGACATTAGCCAGTACAGAGCCTTCCTTATAAGAATTCTGTGTCAGCAAACTGCTGCTCGATATGAAATTCCCATGTCTACAAAGGACAAGCACAAAATTTCCTTTGAATCCTTACAAAACAGCTACTATGTGTTCTCCCTTCTGGGAGCATAACAAAACAACAGGATTGAAGACAAGGAAAAGAATGTTACCATTTAACAAAAATGAACACATTGAAACAGGGTCCAACACCTGGAATTTTTTTATCACTTAAATTACTCTGTATATTTTATTTCACAGAAACATATATTTCATTAAATCAGACATGAATATTTTATAACCAAATACTGTCTCAAAATGAAAGATTCACAAGCTGAAAACGCCCTTAACTTGACTGATGGTTGATGGTCGACTTTCAGATTAAACAAGTTTCACTGTATCTCTAATATAAGTATGTAGTGATTTATAATACATTGCCAGGGAAAGAAAGTTTAATACCTGGTACAGTGGGAGAAGAGAGTGTTGATTACCAGGCAAAGAAAGGTTAATACCTGGTACAGTGGGAGAAGAGAGTGTTGATTACCAGGCAAAGAAAGGTTAATACCTGTTACAGTGGGAGAAGAGAGTGTTGATTATCAGGCAAAGAAAGGTTAATACCTGGTACAGTGGGAGAAGAGAGTGTTGATTACCAGGCAAAGAAAGGTTAATACCTGGTACAGTGGGAGAAGAGAGTGTTGATTACCAGGCAAAGAAAGGTTAATACCTGGTACAGTGGGAGAAGAGAGTGCTGATTACCAGGGAATGAAAGGTTAATACCTGGTACAGTGGGAGAAGAGAGCGTTGAGGATGGCATACTGTATGGCTGGATATCTTTCAGCCACTGACACCTCCAGTGGATCAAAATGTCGACTGATCAGGTCAAATATGCTGGGAGAGAGTGCCCACATCTGAAAAATACATAGTGTTTATCAAACTTTACTACAATAATCTACCAGTCATATGGTATAATGTGGAACGTTTACAATGATTTTCTAAAGTTTTCTCTTGTAACAAGTTCTTGTAAGTAAATGATAGTAAGGATAAATAAAGAATTACTTCATGAACTACATCAAACACCTTGGATTTATCTTTCAACTATAGAAAAATATTATTGCTGGAGTGTTCCAACACCCTGCCATATTCAGCATATTGCTGTAGTTTCTCTTCCAATGAAAACTACAAAGTACAACCTATGTATACCATCATACTGCCTGATCCGACTTCACAGGTTTCTGTCACACTAGTTATCAGATGAAACACTCACTCTCAAATCCAATAACTCTTTTGTAAGGCATGAATTGAAAGAACTTACAGCAATAAGGTTATTTTTGGTGTTGCCAATCTCTGCCAGAGCACACAGGTTGAATACACAGACAGTCTGAGCCTGTAAGACGGTGTAGTGTGTGGCCTCAAAAGGATTGTTAGGGATAAGATTAACCACCACTCCCTCCTCCGCCTCTAACAACAGCAGGTTGTAGGCACGCTGTAGGTCACCTACGATCAACCTGGATACACAGATAACACAGTTTACATAATGGCACCTCTGATTCATCAACACCCAGTGGCACTTTTTTGACATCTATCTCAAAAACGTTTTAAACTTGTCAACAACTTTTCACTTTTTGTATTTCAACAGATATAAAGAAATGTTCTTATATTTTAAAAGCAATATCCTATGAACTAAATGTCTCTCTAGATCACCCACCTCAACATTTTATTGGCCAAGTTTGGACATAACAAAATGATGATAAAGAGATAAACACTGACTATTCAGATGTTTCCTACAGTTGTCTTGTGGGACAGATATCACAGTTGTTCCCTATTTCACAAGGACAGCATTTCTACAACACTCTTTTGTGTCATGCAGCACAGCAAACATAATACAGACATATATTTAACTTTTTCTAAGATTTTAATTTACTGAAGAAATATTTGCAGAGTATTAAATTTCACCCTAACTGTAATGATTGTGAATATAGTGAAATTAATTCTCCTGTGAATATTTCAAACTGTATAGTAAAAAATCCTACAACTTGAACTAGCAATCACCTGCAGTCACATTAGTACCTTGTTCAATATGTTATATAAGAAGTAGATCTTACTTGTAAGCCTCCTCCAACAATGGAACACTCTTTAGGGCCATGACATCATGATACAGCACCATCAATTGTTCTACAACCTGAAAATAAACCAAATCTTACTTCTTATCAAAGTCTTCTGAATAGCATTCTGCATTATCTGGAAACCTCTGTAAACTAGGCTTACAAGATGGACGTTCTGAAATACATTTTAATTAAATATATTCATATATGCCTGTATGTGTTTGACAAAGTAATATCCTTTGAATCTCTGTAAGTATCAAATTAACTCTTTGTTGAAATTTGGAAAAGCTAAAATATGTACATTAAAGAACTTATCATTATTCATTTCTTGCATATTTTTATTTCTTATGCCAAACCCAGATATTACTGTCAGTATGTCAAGTTTACATAATCTTTTATATGTTACAGGTGCCTCTATCATTCTCAGATACCTATTTGGGTTCCAGTGACCACTGACTATATAAGAAACAAGGACTTTAATGACTGATTTACTATACGATTTTACCTCCTCACTCTGTGAGAACCGACACTGCTGAAGTAAGGAGCCAGGCACCAGAAGTTGTGACAGAAACGACACAGTAAGCTGGGTCCCATACATTTCTATCACCTGTAAAAGATCACAATGACATCAAGACAACATTCTTAGCACATGAATGCATCAGAAATTATCACAAATCATCCGGCTCTGATTTGTTTAACACATCAAAATGAGATATTGATATACTATATGCATAAGAATCTTAGAACAGTATCAGTTTTATAAATATGGAATTCAGCATTCTGTAGTAAATGTGTATTGTTTCCACAATTTTCTAGAAGGGCTATTCCTGTAAAACATCTTATCTAAACAAAGAGGTTTTTGCATAGGGGTACCATTCATTGAGTTCAATTGATAATTTGCTTGGAAATAATTGGCAGCAAACTAAACTTTTTATTTTTGAGTCCAAGTGTGAAGTAGATGTTTTGATGACACAGCGTTTATGGAATAAGTATAACTGAATGTATGAACCAAAGTTTGGTTTCTCCCTAAGAAATATGTTTTAAATCTAGTAAAAGATATACACTATATTAATTAAAAAAAAGGAAGTACACAAATACCATTTCATAGTAATGCTAATGAGATAGATATACAAAGATGTGCTTAACTGACCTTCTGTGTGGTAGTCAGTAAAGAGTGGATGTACTTGTAGCTGACTATGTCAACCCGTCCAGTTTGAGTGAGGATAAAGGACAAGAGGCAGTTACTGTGAACAACATCTGTCTGAAGCTGGTGGACCAATAGGCACACACAACGGTTGGCTAAAAAATAGACACAAAGCATAGGTTAAGAGAAAGTCATGGTTCAAACAACATTTAACTAACAATACAAAGTATAGCTAAACAAAAAGTGATGATTCAAACAATACTTTACTAACAATACAAAGTATAGCTAAATGGAAAGTGATGATTCAAACAATATTTTACTAACAATACAAAGTACAGGTAAACAAAAACTAATGACTTAAATGACATTTTATAATTTTACTTAGTCTGATGAGACCTAAGTGGCAAGGGAATTTTACTCCCAGTCTAACATTCATTCAAGTAAGTCTTACCTGTGATAAGTACAGACTCCGAGAAGTAGCTCTTCACAACTATTTCCACACTCTTCACGATTCTGTCCAGAACCTAACCAATAGTAAAAGATACAACCTCTACCATCTGTATGGATGTTGAATAAACAATGACACAAAACTTTTATAATATACAGCTATAATCCATAAATTTTTGCTTTATCAAAACATAAAGCTTAACTTTCTCAATGATTTAGGTTCTGTATAATGTGATTTCAAGTCCATAACTCATGAAATTTTAGGAGTGTGACAACCCAACCAAAGTATAAAGAAAAGAATATACTGCATGCATAATATTTTTTTCAGACAAGGAGAAAGAAAATGCATCCCTTCTCCTGGATCTGGGGACGGGGCTGGGGAAAGGTTTGGAATATTCATGTTCCAACATTCCTTCAAGATCCAACTACTGTTACTCAAGTGTAGACTGTCCCCCAGACTTACCTCTATGATATACTCATGTGTGATCTGACTACTGCTCCCTGGCTGTACTGTCCCCCAGACTTACCTCTATGATATACTCGCGTGTGATCTGACTACTGCTCCCTGGCTGTACTGTCCCCCAGACTTACCTCTATGATATACTCGCGTGTGATCTGACTACTGCTCCCTGGCTGTACTGTCCCCCAGACTTACCTCTATGATATACTCGCGTGTGATCGGACTACTGCTCCCTGGCTGTACTGTCCTCCAGACTTACCTCTATGATATACTCGCGTGTGATCTGACTACTGCTCCCTGGCTGTACTGTCCCCCAGACTTACCTCTATGATATACTCGCGTGTGATCTGACTACTGCTCCCTGGCTGTACTGTCCCCCAGACTTACCTCTATGATATACTCGCGTGTGATCTGACTACTGCTCCCTGGCTGTACTGTCCCCCAGACTTACCTCTATGATATACTCGTGTGTGATCTGACTACTGCTCCCTGGCTGTTCTGTCCTCCAGACTTACCTCTATGATATACTCGTGTGTGATCTGACTACTGCTCCCTGGCTGTTCTGTCCTCCAGACTTACCTCTATGATATACTCGCGTGTGATCTGACTACTGCTCCCTGGCTGTACTGTCCCCCAGACTTACCTCTATGATATACTCGCGTGTGATCTGACTACTGCTCCCTGGCTGTACTGTCCTCCAGACTTACCTCTATGATATACTCGCGTGTGATCTGACTACTGCTCCCTGGCTGTACTGTCCCCCAGACTTACCTCTATGATATACTCGCGTGTGATCTGACTACTATTCCCAGGCTGTAGACTGTCCCCCAGACTCTTCACCACTGTTGTAAACACTTTGAGAAGGGCTGAGATCTTACACACACAGTCTTCCTCATAGGCGCGATCTGATCCACTGTAGGTCAAGTCCTAGAGAAGCATCAAAACTTTAGTATATGACAGCAACAAATTTTTACCAATCTAAAACCATTTTCTGTTATCAAATATAACCTGAGGAAACTGAAAAATTTTGTTATATTTCAAGAAGGTTACAAAGCATTGACATTTTTCTTTATGATGTCCCTTCTGCCCAAAGATGGACAAGGTAGTAATGGAAAACTCCATGGATCATACAGCCTACTCCAGTATTACTATACCTCAACATAGCCTCCCATTCCTCAACATAGCCTCCCATTCCCCAACATAGCCTCCCATTCCTCAACATAGCCTCCCATTCCTCAACAGACTGTCCATGTCAGCCACAAACATATCAAACCCAATATCTAGTACTTTATTGCATTACCTCGGCATATGCCTCCATGTCTTCCAAGAACTGTCCAAGTAGGGTGACAGAAAAGGTCAGGTCTAATACCCAGAATGTGTGGAATTCAATCAAGGCTGATGAAGTAAAATTTATCAATGTGTCCTTCTGGGTGGAATCTATGTGCCATCCTACCAAGATGTCAACTGTATCCTGAGGAGGAACAAAATCAATGTTGGATGATTCAGTTGATGTCAAATGTCTGCCAATCAGGTACTAGCAGTTTATAATATTTTCATTTACACTAATGCTAATAAAGATTGCAAAATGCATATGTATACTATTCGGATAACTAAAGATACTATCTCTGTTATAACAACTTCTAAACTTTCTTTGTAAAATTTAGCTCTTTCTTCAATTAAAAGCAGTCTGGTCTCTAAAGTTTATAATAATAGATTCTTTATCAAGTTGAATACACATTTGGAAATCAATGAGTAATAAAGCAGTTAACAAATATTTCTGCAACATTAAAACAATTTATTGGATACAAGATTTTATTGCATCACTGGAAGAAAGTGAGCCTACCCTGAAGTGAGAGTCAAACACATGCTGGTAGTGCTTGGCTATATGAAGTATGACATTGATGACCGACATCAGTAACTCTGGCGTGTCAGCGTTCTCCAGTAATGTCTGGACATTGGTCATTACCATCTGTCACAAGAAAGGGACATAATCAAAACAGTTTGAGGTGGATACATAACTATTACAGTTACAGTAAGGGAACATAATCATTACAGATAAAGAAGAGAAACATGACTATTACAGAATGAGGACGTATCTAACAACAGCAATAGTCATATTTCATTTTGTGATTGTAATGGTGGTATATTTTGTTTAGGGAAAAATTTTTAAAAAATTAAAAAGAACACATTTAAGACAAGATAAAAGATGCAGAAGTAAAAAATGCTTTTCAATACATTTTGAATTAAATACAGTATAGCCGAATAAGGAATTAAACTGCACTGTACAACTGTTTTGTCCTTCTACGTCATGTCAGTGATGTTCATGGCTTGTATTGTCCTTCAGGACATTGAAACAAAATTATAGTCTGAAAGGTATTATATGAGGGGAGGTAATTCAACCATAATTCAAGTAACTAGTAAAAATCTCTTTCAGAACTTCCATTCAAAAACACAACATGTACATTAATCGCTGACCAATGAGATCTACACAAAAAACCAACAGATAAAAAAAGTCCAGTGACAAATTCCTGGAATATTTTCAAAGAAAACAATGCAACAATTTTGAAAAATTTAATCCTAATTTAATTGTAATCTGAAGACATATTTACCGGCATCAAATTTCCAGATGACTGCTTCTTCTCATCACATTTTAAGGCCTGAATAAGGAAAACCAAAAACACTTTTGATATAAGTAAATAATACAATAGAAATTCTGTATACCAGTAAATAACACAAATTCATGTGATAAAAGATATGTTCACGATATACCAAGAACTATTAGTATACTGTCAACAAATAGAACAGAAGTACCAACCTCAAGCAGGGAGTCCAGAAAAAGAGATTTAATGTCATCCTCAATCACATTGTTTGTCTGGTCAAAGAGCCAATGGAAATACCTGTAAGAAAATATTGACAACGTTAAAGTATTTTACTGATGTCATTTTATCACAACATGGGATTTAAAATTCTTGGCACTGAATTAAAATTCAATATAGTTACATTTGAATACTGAATTAACTCAATATGTCATGATATATGTGACATATCTTTCCTGGTTAAACAAAGCGAGATAATCAATCGCAACAAGCTTGGATTAAGTTGGTTCTTGTTTATTTCAATCACCAACTGGTTTCTGGACTCGCTTTGTTTGTCTTACCCTTTAATCGCCTTGCATACTAAGTGGTATCCAAGCCAGGGATATCAAAACACAAAAAATGACCACTAAAGTACCAGTGTAAGCTCTATTCCCTGAATTTATCTAGTAGTAGGTTTTTAAATTTTCAGCACAAAAATACAAAAGGTTCTGAGGCTGATACTCAGACTTCCAATTATAAATGGAGAGAAATAAGTTACCAATAAATTGAAGAGTAAATCCAGTCAGATCTGTCAAAAAAATTAGCAGGAGGGGGAGGGAGGAAGCATTGAAAACTGTACAAGATTGTAAAATCACAAAGAAGTCCATTTTACCTTTGTGCATCATGGCCCATGTTTCCTCCAACAATCCCAACACAAACAGCAATCTCTTGCTTCAGTTCTCGAGATGTTCTGAAAAAAAATTGATTCCATTGATATCTTATATTTTGGGTAATTCCGTTTTTAAAACTCGGTACCACTTTTCCAATCATTTGGACTTTGAGCTACATTTTCCATTATCTTTTCAAAATCTACTGAAGCTTTATTATGTTATAGCTTGACTAATAAATCATTATTTCAAATGTGATGTAGCAGTTATTGTAAAAATTAGAAAGTAAAAATACTGGCCCAATGCATTTTATCTTACTTTCAGTAGGGAGTAGGTTTATTGCTAAAAACATGAAACATTTTTTGCCAGCACATGTATTTCTACAAGACCAAAAAGATATGTGGGTTTATCACCAGAAATGGGCCTATTGTCAGACATAGAGAGCATTAAGAAAACTTTGCTGTTTAAAATCGTTAAAGCACTCCAACTGGCATTGTTAACATGCTGAACCCACTTGACACGGGGAGTAGGACAGTGTATCAGTTAATCGTGAAGGGACTCCAACCAACTTTTTATGTACATGGTGAGACATTCCGACCAACTTTTTATATACATGGTGAGCGACGATAGAGCAAGTGCATCGTCTTGTCCCATTACCAAGCATTTAGCATCCACTCTGTATAATTACCTCTCATAAAAAATATCTTGCAATGCAACCAAAATGTCATCTGCTATCTTGGCAGTAGCCTAAAACAGGAAACGGTACAACATATAACAGTTACATTCATGAATACTTCTCAAATGAAATATATCCTGCACAATTAATAATGCTCTAGGTTTGTACTAAATATTTTAAAAACTTTGTCCATTTTTGATCAGTTGAATTCACTCAGTACATTTCAAAAATATGGGGTCCTATTTCATTTCTATGGTTTAGAAGGCTATAGTGATGACTTCAATACAAACACCAATGTTGATATCATTCTGTAATTAATCTCATTAATTTTAAGTTATGTTATATTTATTTTTGAGAAACTTAATACATTACGATGGATATAATGACCTTTGATCCCTCCCCAGTCCTCAGGTAATCCTTGAATTGCTTAGCTGCTGTAAGCCGTCTTTCTCTGTCACCTTCTCTTACGATACGGCGGATGTACTTGGATAAACGGGATTCATCCGAGAAATATCGAGAGGAGTCACCTAAGATGGAGGCAATGATATACTAAAATTGTACACAAAAGGCAAATTTATAAATTTACAATAAACATGATAATATATATGTTCCCAGAAAAAATACACACGAAAACCAAACAAACGAAATGTGCACACTAAGATATGTACATAATATGCTACAATTGCTTGTTTCTCTTTGACTGAGCCCCATATAATTGAAGTATTACCAACTTACCATGCATGTTAATGATATAAGTCTGCTCCTCATATTCTAGAGCAATGAGGTCACTTCCAAAATATCTATAATTAGTCGAAAGTATATAGTTTTGATTTTCCATTAAATTTGTTTTCCTCCTGTTTAGTTATTGTACTTGTTATTTTTAAAAGTGAGTAAAATATTCGTAACAATCATAATTGTCGATGATTGTGACAGTTAACACAAACAATGTAAATGAAAGTGTAATATTACAATGGGAAAATGACCATCTGGACAGTTCTTATGTTATCAGACGGGGTCAATCTGTTGACACAAGATACACTGTAGTGACACGATGCGAAAGTGAAAGCTGTTTCCATCTATAGTAAATATTTGAAACTGTTGAACATACCCGAACGTTTTGAATCCGACCTTGGTGAAGATGCTGACGTAGACCCATGGTACCCAGCTTTCGATTCGTACCGACCTCTGCCCGAAGATTTTGGAGGGGGATAATACCGACGTTCTTCGTCTCTTTTGGACCTTGAACCACCCGTGCTACCACTTTTTATGCCATTTACCTTTGACGTTGTTCTGGTATCCGTGACTCTACGGGATTCTTTTCCCTTTTCTGAAACTTTAGTCTCGACCTTTTGGTTTTCCACCAAAGTGGCATTTTCGTTAGAGTTGCTGGCGGATGTTTTTTCTTTAGTTGTGACTTGACTACTTTCTGAAGACACACCATCCTTCTTGTCTGGTGGCTTGCCCTTCACCCCGCTTGACTTTTCACTCATTACACTGGACAACCCTTCAAAAACATAATAATTTACTTCCTATCATAATGAATATAGACTAAAACTGAAAATCAACAGTCCGCCATCTTCCTCCCAAATTTACATAAGTCCGCACCTAATGATTTTTTAATTTTAAATATTGAATTATTTTTCACGAGTTCAATATTTCTAAATGACTTTCTATCTGAAGAAACAATGATCGAGTAGCACATATTTATTATGATGATACATATTTTCGTGTTGTTATTCACTGCAGAACTGCATCATGGCCGCCTTGGGAGAGGCATTAGAACTCTGCACGTGTTTCAGTGAAAAAGACTTGTTATCTGTCGATTCAGACGGTCTCACTGGCCATGTCATCATTACGTGCAAAACCAACTCAATATTTGTCTTCAAGGTAAACGTGTTTAATGCTGTCATTATGTCATCAGATGTATTAATCACATGAAAGACCCCCCCCACCCCATCAAAGATTTAAAGATTTTTTTGGGCTCCATTGCAGATCAATCCTCTTAACTTGGACACAGTAGAATCAAATAATTAGTTAAACTGCGTTATAAAGCTGCTTCAATCATATATCAATCACCCATCTCCGTTTTTGTCTTTAAACTTTGCAGTATTTTAAAGAACACTAAACATGCCTGAATATATCATTCCTATTCCAGTTGTTAAATGCAAAACACCCACAAAGTCAGTAACTTTTACACCAAATATCTGCCACAAAGATACCTCTTGTCTACATTTTGGAAAATATTTATTTCTATTTGTTGAAGACTTTTTTTAGCTTCATTTCCACATCAATAAATACCAATTTAGAATGATAACTGCTCACAGTAAACTAGGCAGTTGAAAAATGAAGTTTTCAATTTATCAGAAAATCTCAAATTTGAAGTTTAAGTCATGAACTCATTTTGTCATATGATTTTTATTCAACATTATTTACAAAAGAAAAAACAAAAAATAGATTAAATGCATATATTGTACACACAAGTTTATCAAGAAAAAACAAAGTCCTAAAAATAGTTTTCTGACATTATGCACATGAATGTAGGTAGTGTATAGTTACAGAAATTATATCAAATATTATCAAATCATTTTGATGAAAACTGGACATATAGAATTTAAAATAAAATGATGTTTTATGTGATTGTGAGATATCATGTCTCTGTCAATTAACCAAATAAGCAGTGATGTTTGTGGTTAACTAGTTATCAGGTAGTAAATTGCTATAGCAATTAACACATTGATCTACAGGTATCATCTGATTTCTATTTGCATTACAATGTCATTGGAAATTATGCTTAACATTACCTGATCAGATTTAAACCAGACAGCTTATATTAAGAGTCATGTATTCACTATAGCCTTCCTTTGTTATTTCATGCATTTTGGATTCCACTTACAGTTGGATGACCAGAAGGCTATACACAGCTGGTCAGTAAGGAGAGGACTTGTTATTACCAGTCCATCCAGATGGACCAGTGGTAACAGTTATATTTCAGTCATTAACAAACAAGTGAGTGTCTAGCAACATCGAATGACCAACACCTGTTTTCAATTTTTTTTCTATTCATTACACTTTTTTTAATAATCTTAATTCTGAAATCAATTTAAGTTGAAATTCCAAGTTTTTCAAATTCAGCTAGCTTTTGGTCTTAATTTTTCTTATGTATTTTGTAAATGACATTATTTTCTTAATGACAAAAGATGTCATTTTGATTTTGACTATATCCTAATCATTTTTTTTTCTCAAGTGTTTTCCTCAGCTGGAGGAAGAAAATCCACAGATATGCAGATTACAATAGTTCATAATATCATTCAAGTTTTTAAGAAGACACCATTGATGTAGGAAGCAGCAATGTATCTGTTTTGTTTACTTGAAATTCAGTTTCTTTATGTTGTAGAATATTCACACCTGGAGTAAAGAGGACTTAAACTTCGAAAAGTCAACCAAAAAACATGTAAGTTTTTAAGATGATGTTAAAAAAAATAATAACATTAATTCTAATAAGTTTTTAAATTGATATTTCAAAATAATTTTAAGTTTGTTTAAGGGATTCTCACATGAAAATATTGGCTTTAGTTTCAAAATATTTTAAAGAATAAGATTTTTGTGTCTCCACTTTCCCTACATTTGATGTCTTCTCATTACATGTGTTGCTCTTTAGAAATCTCTCTATTTGCCTAGACTTCATTTCTGCACCACTGTGAATATAATGCTATTTGCTTTATTTGCACTTCTCGAGTTCAATTTTCAGCAAATTATATTCAGAATCACAATAGTTATGCCCCCCCTCTCTCTGATTTTCCCTGACAGACAAATGGTTCTTGTCATGATGGCGTTCATTACAGGAGATGTACTGTCTGTCACATCCCATGCTGACCTGTCTCTGTTCTTGATTTATGCTGTCAAAGAATACAATGTTGTCTTTTTGTATAAGATTATGTCTGAAATGACTGGCCTGCATATCACACAGTAATCTAAACACCATGGAAATGCTGTTTTGGTATTACATAAATTTTGCAAAATAAGGATTCTTAGATTTAAAAAAATATCATAACATTGTTTTATGGTTTTTATAGAAAATAGTGTGTTGGGAATAATTAATATATTTGTTTCAGCTTAAATTCCCTATACATGAAATTTTGACCACAGAAGGATGGGACCCTGTAGCAGTGTGTGAGGATGGTTCTGTGGACTTCGTTGACAATATAAAGAACTCATACAAAGGAAATAACTCTGATGTTAAACAGGACACAATTTTCTCTTGTGGAATCACAGGCACAAATAATGCTGTCTGTGTGATTTGTTTGTCACAACAAAAGGTAGAATGTCATCGATACATCTTTGGCCATTTACTTAATCAACTATATTTATTAGTTTGTAGTTCTATTTGATAGTTTACTGTCACATGAAACTTTGATGACTGAGTTAAGAATGTTACTATCACATTTAATTGGTAATTTGTGGTTTTATCTTGATAAGGTTTTGTTGTACCAACATTGAAGCTTTAAATGGGATTCAAACTGATACAAACTTATTGAACCATTTTATTAATAGATATGACCATAAGCAAAATAAAACAATATTTCTAAACAGTAGATAGATATTTACAAGTATTCAACACATCTGATTTTAGTGAATGCTTTGGTTCCATATCTCCTGTTTAGTTAATGCGATCTTTCAATGATTAGTTATCAATTGTTTAAGAATGATGGTAAAGGATAATAATTTACAAGGAGATTCTCAATAATAAAAGATTTGTTTGGTAAAAATGATAGAATCTTATTAATAGTTTAAACTTTGGCTAGAGGGAATGGAATAGCTGACAAGAAATTTGTGGGTCAATGACTTCAAATTTCCAGCATATGCATGTATATTAATTTATAGAGATTTTGTATTGGCCAATTAGACTGATTTAAGGATAATGATGTTACATTAACTATTTCTACATATACTCAACAACATGCTTAGTGGATAATTTTGTGACCCAAAATTTTGTTTTCCTTCAGGACTCTGAATTTACAATAACCCACTACTGGTACAAACGTGCCACAAAGACATGGACAGTGCTGGTCACTACAGAAATATGTCCAGAGAAAGTCCGATGTACATCCAGCCATTGTCACACAGCTGGATCAACAACGCGACTTTACTGTTCATGTGAGTTTATACAATGCATCTTATTTCTTATCAGGAATGATTAACCCTTCCATGGGTTTTTAATAAATGATTGCTGGTAACTGATCTTAAAATGACAAATTTATTTCATTTTGTTTAAATCCAATGATCATTAATGCTTAAACCTATGAGCTTCCAATTTTCAGTGTCCAATGGGAGTATGGTGGTTTTAGACCTGTCACATGAGCAGGCTGACCCTGTAAGATGTACAGTGCAGACATTACCAGGGGTTGGGAGGTCAGTGACCTTCACTGTCTTGGATACTCACCACGTGGCAGTGACTGGTACAACACAGGGCCAACAAGGTCAGTTATAACTTACCAAACTTTATCCATTACCTACTTTGAGACTCCTTTTTACACTTGGTTGAAATAGCCCTAAATTACCGGACTGTGTCAATGTAGAGAAAAGATGTGATTAATTTGAAAACTGAAGGAAGTGGAGAAGAGTTTAGGGTAAGAACTAGTCCAAAGCTTTATCCTGTATGTGGTTTATGCCTTTGTGATTTCCTCAGATGATGTCAGAAGTCTCCACAATGAGCAGTAGTTATAAAAAAACAAGAAAATATTGACATGTCAACAAAATCGTAATTTAAATTCAATAAAACTAGGGCAAATTATGAACAAAAGACAGATTTACATGGAGACTATTGAAAAGTTACAAGGAGAATAAGAACATGTGTTCTGGAAGAGTAAGTGTCTTCTGCTTCATCGACAACATCCCTCACGTAAATCTAGATCTCAAAGAAAGCTCCTTGATTGTTCAGGGGCCCCACCCATTTGTCTTGTAATCATTTACAATGAGTTTAGAAGATAATATTGCCTTTATTGTCCCCTTTTGATTAAAGAATTGAATCAAAGAAATATATTTGAATTGCTTATATTTTACAGAAGGTATTGGAATCTTTGATCTCCAGTTTGGTACTTTAAAAGCATGGCGACCCTATCCTGGAGTTGTTCAACCTGATGTCAAAGTAGGTCCATCAATGATTTCTCTCAGCTTAAAACAATTGGATTAGGTTTCAACCAAATTTTCTCTCAGCTTAAAACAATTGGGTTAGGTTTCAACCAAATTTTCTCTCAGCTTAAAACAGTTGGGTTAGGTTTCAACCAAATTTTCTCTCAGCTTAAAACAATTGGGTTAGGTTTCAACCAAATTTTCTCTCAGCTTAAAACAATTGGGTTAGGTTTTTAACCAAATTTTCTCTCAGCTTAAAACAGTTGGGTTAGGTTTCAACCAAATTTTCTCTCAGCTTAAAACAATTGGGTTAGGTTTCAACCAAATTTTCTCTCAGCTTAAAACAATTGGGTTAGGTTTCAACCAAATTTTCTCTCAGCTTAAAACAATTGGGTTAGGTTTCAACCAAATTTTCTCTCAGCTAAAAACAATTGAGTTAGGTTTCAACCAAATTTGCAAGGATGTATAATGAGTCAAGCATCTTAGAGGAAAGGATAGTATGACCTTGGGGCTGAGGGGGAAGGCCCAATAAACAGAAGTTGGAATTGACTTCAACATTTCAAACTTGAAAGATTTTTAGTGGAAATGTAGGTTAATTCTGCTTCAAAACCACACTCTAAAACTGTCCAAAATATGATTTGAAAGAATGATACAGAAAGCAGTTATTCCACTACAATTATCTATTGGATGTTAGTCTTGAAAAAGAAGAATTTCACTGGATTTTTCACAGATAAATTTCTTAATGTGGGAAACCTACAAAAGGAAGTTGAAATATGATGACTTTTTTATTTTTGTGGTCATAATAGACATCTTGCTATCCATTGATAACAGATATACAGTCACCATGGTAATGTGCTGATCGCTTGTGGTAACTCTATGTACATGCTACCCTTCACCTGCCAGAAGTCCACTGTGTCCAGTATCCTAGGCCAGCATCAACAACTGAGCACTGGTGAAACCAGACATACACTCCCAAAATGTTTTGATTGGCCAATAGATGGGAGCAACCCTGTACGTACATTTCATTTCTATATAATGAACATCAGATATGTTTCTATGTTTGCATAGTATGATATCTTACGAGAATTTAATTTTTTGATTGTGTTAAATGTGTCTTGCAAACCAAAACAGTCTTGTAACAGAACTTTAATTAGTCTCACTGGTTGGACTTTCGGGTGTCTAATCCAGTAGGATTTTTTGGGCCTTGCTGGTTAAAGGCCATTTTCATATCAAGACTAATTGGTCTTTACAGTTTCAGCGGATTGTCTGATTCCCATTAATGATACACAAAGTAAAGATTATACAAAAGATATTCTGAAATTCTATTAGAAGAAATATTAATATACATATTGAAATATTTCAGACAAAATTAAATATGTTAAAGAGTTCTTAAAAGATAAATTAGCCCCATTACATTTCATACAATATTCTCATTGAAATTTTCTTTTTACTAGATAAAGGAACAGATGTCAAACCAGCAAAAGGCAGAGGAGCTGGCATCCTTACTGTGTGACCAAGAAAAGGTGGGTACAACAGGGGCACATACCCATAGAAAATAGATAAAACATGATATATATACCCATAGAGAGTTGTCTAACAGAAAGACTTCACAAGGTGTACATACCCATAGAGAGTTGTCTAACAGAAAGACTTCACAAGGTGTACATACCCATAGAGAGTTGTCTAACAGAAAGACTTAACAAGGTGTACATACCCTTAGAGAGTTGTCTAACAGAAAGACTTCACAAGGTTAACATACCCATAGAGAGTTGTCTAACAGAAAGACTTCACAAGGTGTACATACCCATAGAGAAGTGTCTAACAGAAAGACTTCACAATGCAAACCCATAGAGAGTTGTTTAACAGAAAGACTTCACAAGGTGTACATACCCTTAGAGAGTTGTCTAACAGAAAGACTTCACAAGGTTTACATACCCATAGAGAGTTATCTAACAGAAAGACTTCACAAGGTTTACATACCCATAGATAGTTGTCTAACTTAGACAAAATATCACAGGGTGTACATACCCATAGAGAGTTGTCTAACTTACACAAAATATCACAGGGTGTACATACCCATAGAGAGTTGTCTAACTTACACAAAATATCACAGGGTGTACATACCCATAGAGAGTTGTCTAACTTAGACAAAATATCACAAGGTGTAAATACCCATAGGTAGTTGTCTAACATAGGCAAAACTTTACAAGGTATTTATACCCATAGAGAGTTGTCTAACAGAAAGACTTCACAAGGTGTACATACCCATAGAGAGTTGTCTAACAGAAAGACTTCACAAGGTGTACATACCCATAGAGAGTTGTCCAACAGAAAGACTTCACAAGGTTTACATACCCATAGAGAGTTGTCTAACAGAAACACTTCACAAGGGTTACATACCCTTAGAGAGTTGTCTAACAGAAAGACTTCACAAGGTTTACATACCCATAGAGAGTTGTCTAACAGAAAGACTTCACAAGGTGTACATACCCATAGAGAGTTGTCTAACAGAAAGACTTCACAATACAAACCCATTGTTTAACAGAAAGACTTCACAAGGTGTACATACCCATAGAGAGTTGTCTAACAGAAAGACTTCACAAGGTTTACATACCCATAGAGAGTTGTCTAACAGAAAGACTTCACAAGGTTTACATACCCATAGATTGTTGTCTAACTTAGACAAAATATCACAGGGTGTACATACCCATAGAGAGTTGTCTAACTTACACAAAATATCACAGGGTGTACATACCCATAGAGAGTTGTCTAACTTACACAAAATATCACAGGGTGTACATACCCATAGAGAGTTGTCTAACTTAGACAAAATATCACAAGGTGTACATACCCATAGGTAGTTGTCTAACATAGGCAAAACTTTACAAGGTATTTATACCCATAGAGAGTTGTCTAACAGAAAGACTTCACAAGGTGTACATACCCATAGAGAGTAGTCTAACAGAAAGACTTCACAAGGTGTACATACCCATAGAGAGTTGTCTAACAGAAAGACTTCACAAGGTGTACATACCCATAGAGAGTTGTCTAACAGAAAGACTTCACAAGGTGAACATACCCATAGAGAGTTGTCTAACAGAAAGACTTCACAAGGTGTACATACCCATAGATAGTTGTCTAACTTAGACAAAATATCACAGGGTGTACATACCCATAGAGAGTTGTCTAACTTACACAAAATATCACAGGGTGTACATACCCATAGAGAGTTGTCTAACTTACACAAAATATCACAGGGTGTACATACCCATAGAGAGTTGTCTAACAGAAACACTTCACAAGGGTTACATACCCTTAGAGAGTTGTCTAACAGAAAGACTTACAATACCCATAGAGAGTTGTCTAACAGAAAGTTGTCTAACATAGAGCAAAACTTTAGAGACAAGGTAGGTTTACATACCCATAGAGAGTTGTCTAACAGGCAAAACTTCACAAGGTATTACATACCCATAGAGAGTTGTCTAACAGAAAGACTTCACAAGGTGTACATACCCATAGAGAGTTGTCTAACAGAAAGACTTCACAAGGTATACATACCCATAGAGAGTTGTCTCACAGGGTGTACATACCCATAGAGAGTTGTCTAACTTACACAGAAAGACTTCACAGGTTGTACATACCCATAGAGATACAGAAAACTTCACAAGGTGTACATTGTTACCCATAGAGAGTTGTAACAGAAAGACTTCACAAGGTGTACATACCCATAGAGAGTTGTCTAACAGAAAGACTTCACAAGGTTTACATACCCATAGAGAGTTGTCTAACAGAAAGACTTCACAAGGTTTACATACCCATAGATTGTTGTCTAACTTAGACAAAATATCACAAGGTGTACATACCCATAGAGAGTTGTCTAACTTACACAAAATATCACAGGGTGTACATACCCATAGAGAGTTGTCTAACTTACACAAAATATCACAGGGTGTACATACCCATAGAGAGTTGTCTAACTTAGACAAAATATCACAAGGTGTACATACATAGAGAGGTCTAACAGAAAAACTTCACAAGGTTACATGTACAAGGTATTTATACCCATAGAGAGTTGTCTAACAGAAAGACTTCAAAACTTCACAAGGTGTACATACCCATAGAGAGTTGTCTAACAGAAAGACTTCACAAGGTGTACATACCCATAGAGAGTTGTCTAACAGAAAGACTTCACAAGGTGTACATACCCATAGAGAGTTGTCTAACAGAAAGACTTCACAAGGTGTACATACCCATAGAGAGTTGTCTAACAGAAAGACTTCACAAGGTTTACATACCCATAGAGAGTTGTCTAACAGAAAGACTTCACAAGGGTTACATACCCTTAGAGAGTTGTCTAACAGAAAGACTTCACAAGGTTTACATACCCATAGAGAGTTGTCGAACAGAAAGACTTCACAAGGTGTACATACCCATAGAGAGTTGTCACAAGGTTTAACATAGAGAGTTGTCTAACAAAAGACTTCACAAGGTTACATACCCATAGAGAGTTGTCTAACAGAAAGACTTCACAAGGTTTACATACCCATAGAGAGTTGTCTAACTTAGACCCAAGAGATATCACAAGGTGTACATACCCATAGAGAGTTGTCTAACATAGAGAGTTGTCTAACAGAAAGACTTCACAAGGTGTACATACCCATAGAGAGTTGTCTAACAGAAACTTCACTTCACAAGGTTACATACCCATAGAGAGAGAGTTGTCTAACAGAAAGACTTCACAAGGTGTACATACCCATAGAGAGTTGTCTAACAGAAAGACTTCACAAGGTGTACATACCCATAGAGAGTTGTCTAACAGAAAGACTTCACAAGGTGTACATACCCATAGAGAGTTGTCTAACAGAAAGACTTAACAAGGTGTACATACTCTTAGAGAGTTGTCTAACAGAAAGACTTTACAAGAGAGAGTGTCTAACAGAAAGACTCACAATACAAACCCATAGAGAGTTGTTTAACAGAAAGACTTCACAAGGTGTACATACCCATAGAGAGTTGTCTAACAGAAAGACTTCACAAGGTTTACATACCCATAGAGAGTTGTCTAACAGAAAGACTTCACAAGGTTTACATACCCATAGATAATTGTCTAACTTAGACAAAATATTACAAGGTGTACATACCCATGGAGAGTTGTCTAACTTAGACAAAATATCACAGGGTGTACATACCCATAGAGAGTTGTCTAACTTACACAAAATATCACAGGGTGTACATACCCATAGAGAGTTGTCTAACTTACACAAAATATCACAGGGTGTACATACCCATAGGTAGTTGTCTAACATAGGAAAAACTTTACAAGGTATTTATACCCATAGAGAGTTGTTTCAGTGAGGAGGAATCATATAACATATTGATTTGCTTTGATTTAGATGTTGTTCTTTTAAAAATTATGAGTCAACCATTTGGCCAACTACATTAAGTTTGTTCAGGATCTATTCAAAGGTTGCAGAGAAGTTCTTTTTATCAAGGGTAGAACCATGAAATTTCAGATTTGAATATTGTGATGCCATATCATTTATTCAAAATGTGATATCCCAAAAAGTTACACATATACATATGATGTAAATGTATTCCTTGTCTAACTTCCTGATGATTGTACATGTACTATATTGTTCGGCAATTCGCTCATGTCTAGTAATAAGCCCATCCATATGTGTTGCAGTATCAGTAAAATTATAAGTTATGTATTAAGCTGTCCTGCACTAAGCCCATCACCTGACTTTTAAGTAAGACTTATTGCTAGGTGTATTTCTTTGTAAACTGATAATTGTTTTACTATTTTTGTTTAGACTAAAACACATAAAAACTTTCACACTACCTTCTGGAAACTGATGGGATGTGTGAAGGAATTTCAGAGTACATGGTACATGAGTCCACTGTTTACGGATGTCCTAACACGATGTGTGACTGAGAAAAAGTTCTGGCCAAAGGAAGAGATCGCTGAGCTGATGAAAATCTACAGCATGCCTATAAGGTAAATGGTCCAAATGTCATGGTAAAGTTCAGAAACTATAGGTTTAGAAACAATAGGCCTCTTGATGACCTGTTGTCATTTTTCCGGAAAATTCTCAATTGTGACCAATGTTGTGACATGTCTGTACAAGAACTAAATCAAAGTATCTTGAGCAGTAGAACCCCCAAGGGACCAGTGGATGCTTCAAAAATATCAGTTTGAAGCTTTAACAAGAAAGAAATAATTGTCAGAATAGATAAACATTGTGTTATTGGTGGGTGAGATTTTGTATGTGTTTCAATGCCTATTATATTTACAGTGTTATGCCGAAGTTGGTGGAGGCTCTGATACAGCACGGTGAGATCTGTCTCCTACATACTTTTCTACAGAGTGTGTCTGAGGTGCCCGAGGTGTGTCTGTGTAAGGCCCTGCAGTACTATATTACGTAAGTCACTACAATGTGTGTGTCAGGTCCCTGTGTCTATAGAGTGTGTTTGAGGTGTGTCTGTGTAAGGCCTTGCAGTACTGCATTACGTAAGTCACTACAGTGTGTGTGTCAGGTCCCTGTGTCTATAGAGTGTGTTTGAGGTGTGTCTGTGTAAGGCCCTGCAGTACTACATTACGTAAGTCACTACAATGTGTGTGTCAGGTCCCTGTGTCTATAGAGTGTGTTTGAGGTGTGTCTGTGTAAGGCCCTGCAGTACTACATTACATAAGTCACTACAATGTGTGTGTCAGGTCCCTGTGTCTATAGAGTGTGTTTGAGGTGTGTCTGTGTAAGGCCCTGCAGTACTACATTACATAAGTCACTACAATGTGTGTGTCAGGTCCCTGTGTCCTAAGGTGTGTGTGTGGTCCCTGTGTCCTACAGTGTGTATGTGTGTGGTCCTTGTGTCCTACAGTGTGTATGAGGTTTCTTTGACTTAGTGTGTGTGGTCCCTGTGTCCTACATTGTGTGTGAGGTTCCTTTGTCCTAAAGTGTGTGTGAGGTCACTGTTTCCTACAGTGTATGTGAGGTTCCTTTGTCCTGCATTGTGTGAGGTCCCTGTGTCCTACGTTTCAGGGATGTTTTTCAATGTAGTTCAACTTTGTTAACTAAGGGGCACAACTCTGAAAAGATTATTTGAGAACTGATGTGAAGTCATAGTTGAAGGAAATATTTTAACTTTGATACAGATAATATTGAAAGGATTGCCTTGACTTTTAATTATGTTTTGATTTATTTATAGGGCAGAAGATGAAGATTTAGCTAAAGCAGCACACAAACTGTGTATTGACAAATTACCATCAGATGACAAGAAGTCATTTAGAGCTCATAAGGCATACTTTGTGTATCCTTTCCTGGTTAAAATGCTATGAGATGTTAGATTTTATTTGAATGATTTGATATGCCATGTTTTACTTGTGGTCCTATGCAATGATTATGCATTTGGCTTCAGTTTTCTTACAAATAATTTCCTCTTCAGGACAATTAAACCTAGAGATATGATGTGCTGTGTGGTGAAGACTGTCATTCAAATCAATTGTCTTAATGTTTATTGAGAATAAAACCTATCTTTACCAATGGTAGTTTTGTCAAGGATGTATCTGTTATATGGTGTCATTTATAATGTTTTTACAAGTATGTCTTCACCAAATAGACATAGTGTTTACCTCTGAAAAATTTACTCGTGATGCACAGTTTACCATTTTGAGCCTCTTGTACATTTCTGATTCCAAAATTTCTCAAGAGATAAAAATAGTCTTTTTCTCCATGCTAAAAAATAAGTTATTCTTCCAGAATTAAAGAAAATCAGGAATATTTTCCCCATGTTCAAATATTTCTACATGGTCCCCATAGCTGCAAGGTACTTAAAATTCATTGGAAACATAAACCAGTAAATGTCAGCTTCACCAACAATGTCGTATATGTATCAGTATATTTACCAGTAACATGATAGTGTACTGGTACCCATTACCACTGTATCTACACAGACCTTGACTGTCATCAGAAACTCTGTGCTGAAGGAAGCATTCAATGACGTATTCTTAGTGGATTATTTGAAGTCTCTTGATTTTAAAAATGTTTTGGTAAGTGTTGTTAAAAACTGTCCACTGTATTTGTTATTTTGTTTTGAAATAGAATATTTAATAGTTTTATCAAGAAATAATCAAAAAATATTTAATGGTTTTATCAAGAAATAATCAAAAAATATTTAATGGGTTTATCCAGTAATATCCAACAGAACCTTGTAAGCAATGTAGTTTCAGGAAATGTATCTGATTAAAGCCACACTCCTCCTCCTCCTCCTCCTCCTCCTCCTCCTCCTCCTCCTCAGTTGGCTTTGGAAGAAAAATCTCTAATTTAGATAGGATTTTGAAGTAAATATGACTGTAAAGGATAGAATTATCAAACTTCAAAGAAAAAAATCTGTACATATCTGACTATTACTACGACAGGTCGTGTTGGAACACCTTCATCTCATGTTGGGAGATCAGCTGGAAGATTTAGGAAATGAGGAAGACAAAATATCATTGGAATTGGTAGAGATGGAGAAAGAGGAAGGAGAGGAAGAAACAGAAGAAGATACTAAAAGAGAAGAAGATAAAGAAGACAGGAAAATCCAAACATTGTGTCAGCCGACCATACCACAGGTATTAAAGTGATTTGTGTACTCTGTTTGGCCACTGTTTTTTCATAAACAATAGCTCCTTCTTTTCTTTCATTTTGAATGAAATTTAAAGTGTTATGTACTGTGTTATTGATTTGAAAAATGGTTGAATTTCTAGCTTGCTTTTTCAAAGAATGAGAGCAAAAGCTTAACTGCTTTTGAAAAAAAAACTATTAATAACCTTAACCTTCTAAAAAGGTGATGGGATACAATAAGCTGTTCCAAAGAGAGCTGTACATATGCCAGTCAGGACTAGACCAGTATAACTTCTCATGTGTTGTTATCTTCCTAGGCAGATTTGCATTCAAACCTTTTCTTCACTGCTTCCTGTCAATGATTGTTAACAAAATCTCTGAGTGGTCGAAACTTCATACAGTGTAAAACCAATCTACAATTACATGTTTTATGGCACAACAGACTGATATGATTGTGTCCTTGACAAGACACTTAACATCAGCTGCTTTGTGGAGCAACGGGCCTCCTGTATGTAGTTCAGTGAAGTAGTCACCAAGCATGGAAATCCCACCTCAATAAACAAACCTGGGGACCTGCATATTAGTCTTGTTTATGATAATATTTTAAATCAGAAATATCTGTACATTTTAATCCTTTCAGATTGCTGACTGGATCTGTGTGTTACTTGATGCTCACATCACCCAGCTTATTATCTCCCCTGATGCACGATTACTTCTCATAAATCTCCATACATCTGTGGCCTCACAGGTGAGTGACATTTTCATACAAGTAACAAATTGAATATGCAGGTGTATAGAATAGATCACATCATAATGTACTGATAGTTTAAGACATTGATATCAATGATGAATAATTTCCTTTTTACTTCCTGCCTCTCGACTCGCTCCCCAATTAGAATTTTTTTTACAAATGGTTTAATGACACCAAATTACGTTGATGGACTCTTAAGAATGGTTTGTAATTCAAAGGGGCAATGATAGTTTAGCGGTTTGTCTTATGTAATCTCTTGTGCTGTCTTTAGGCAAACCACTTTACTCTATTGTTCTTTATGGCATGCGAAGAACCTTCCTTAGGTTGAACAATGAGGCAGTCACTAGCTGCTACAAGGAGACTAAAATACAATGGCTGTTCACAGCATGATTAACCTAGCAAACATTACAATGCAGTATAATTTGATTATCTGTCTATTTTTCATTTGTCTCATTTTTTCATAGGTTCAGTTTTATGATGAGTTGTCAACTCTTGAGGCACTCCTAGACCAACTGAAGGCCAAGTGTTCTGTCACATCCAAGAAGGCGGTCGGTCAGTACTGTGTAGAAGTTCTTCACATCCATTGATCCCATTTCACAAATAAAGATGATTACTTTACACTATATCTCTTATTATTATTATTATTATGAAAATCTCTACAAATTTCCGTGTATCCTATAACTACTTTTTTGTTTTGTGTTTTTTTTTTTTTTCATGAGAGGTCCATTTCCACACGATTCCAAAATGTGAAGTTATTTGAAAATTAAAATCTTCAAAAAAGTGACAATTCCGAAACCCTTTTAAAAGTAAATTGAATTTTCTCAACAAAAAAATAATCAAATCATCAATTGATTAGAAAAAAGATGTATAACCTGATACCTGAATATGAAAATGAAATGCACACAGAAGAAAATGTGACTTACAGTATTTGATATAGTCAAAGGTACAGCATAGCCAACAATCCCATGGCTGGAGGGAGTCTTTGTCGAAAGAAGTCTACAATCAACACATTCATGAAAATCACTTTCAAACAAATCAACATTATTCAGTGAAAATCAGTACCAAACAAGTCCACGATCATTCATGAAAATCAGTACCAAACAAGTCCACAATTATCTGTGAAAATCAGTACCAAACAAGTCCACAATTATCCGTGAAAATCAGTAACAAACAAGTCCACAATTATCCGTGAAAATCAGTACCAAACAAGTCCACAATCATCCGTGAAAATCAGTAACAAACAAGTCCACAATTATCGGTGAAAATCAGTACCAAACAAGTCCACGATCATTCATGAAAATCAGTACCAAACAAGTCCACAATTATCCGTGAAAATCAGTACCAAACAAGTCCACAATTATCCCTGAAAATCAGTACCAAACAAGTCCACAATCATCCGTGAAAATCAGTAACAAACAAGTCCACAATTATCGGTGAAAATCAGTACCAAACAAGTCCACGATCATTCATGAAAATCAGTACCAAACAAGTCCACAATTATCCGTGAAAATCAGTACCAAACAAGTCCACAATTATCCCTGAAAATCAGTACCAAACAAGTCCACAATTATCCGTGAAAATCAGTACCAAACAAGTCCACAATTATCGGTGAAAATCAGTACCAAACAAGTCCACAATTATCCGTGAAAATCAGTACCAAACAAGTCCACGATCATTCATGAAAATCAGTACCAAACAAGTCCACAATTATCCCTGAAAATCAGTACCAAACAAGTCCACAATTATCGGTGAAAATCAGTACCAAACAAGTCCACAATTATCCCTGAAAATCAGTACCAAACAAGTCCACAATTATCGGTGAAAATCAGTACCAAACAAGTCCACAATTATCCCTGAAAATCAGTACCAAACAAGTCCACAATTATCCCTGAAAATCAGTACCAAACAAGTCCACAATTATCCCTGAAAATCAGTACCAAACAAGTCCACAATTATCCCTGAAAATCAGTACCAAACAAGTCCACAATTATCGGTGAAAATCAGTAACAAACAAGTCCACAATTATCCGTGAAAATCAGTACCAAACAAGTCCACAATTATCCGTGAAAATCAGTACCAAACAAGTCCACAATTATCGGTGAAAATCAGTACCAAACAAGTCCACAATTATCCCTGAAAATCAGTACCAAACAAGTCCACAATTATCCCTGAAAATCAGTACCAAACAAGTCCACAATTATCCGTGAAAATCAGTACCAAACAAGTCCACAATTATCCCTGAAAATCAGTACCAAACAAGTCCACAATTATCCGTGAAAATCAGTACCAAACAAGTCCACAATTATCCGTGAAAATCAGTACCAAACAAGTCCACAATTATCCGTGAAAATCAGTACCAAACAAGTCCACAATTATCCGTGAAAATCAGTACCAAACAAGTCCACAATTATCCGTGAAAATCAGTACCAAACAAGTCCACAATTATCCCTGAAAATCAGTACCAAACAAGTCCACAATTATCCCTGAAAATCAGTACCAAACAAGTCCACAATTATCCGTGAAAATCAGTACCAAACAAGTCCACAATTATCCCTGAAAATCAGTACCAAACAAGTCCACGATCATCGGTCAAATAAAGTACCCAGCAACTGCAGTCAGCGGTATAACAAGTATACAATTATCTATAAAAAAAAAACTAGCACCAATTAATTCTAAATTTTTCCCCTCATATTAGATTCACCAATGAAGACCATAGTCTTTACTGAAAATGTATTATTCACAAATACGCATTGAAACAGAGGGATAGATTTGCACACTATTGCTTGGTGTTGTGAACGCGGGATTGCCTCGGCCTACCCACAAATATGAAATGCTTGATGCCGTTTGCCAAACCTCTCTTCTTTAAGAGCTTCAGCACGAGTACTTGACCGGTGTTGTAATTGAACGTTGTCGTCGTCTATGTATTCTGTATGTTAAGACCTTCAGTAATTCTAATAAAAATGTTAATGGTTCTTTACTTTCTTCATCAGATAGCACGCTCATCATATCGCCTCGGCGTTCTCTTGTAGTCATTACACGTTCACTGACAGATGAAAAATCATTATTGAAATACCATATTGGTTTCTTATCCACTCGTACGGGTTAATTCATAATTTAGAACTTAAACGAACAGAATTACAAAACGAGCAGTATACAATCATCTTTTATTCAACATATAATATCTATGGTTGAAAAGGTACCGACAAGGAAAGCGTCACGCTAGGGTCATGGTAGTTAATTGATGAACCAAGGGCGGTAGTTAAAATGCGGCGATGTTGTGGGTAATGTTGATGGTTTCCATGCGTGTCCGACTGTAGAAGAATAGAAGAGTACTCAGCCCGCATTACTTATTCAATTAATTGGGAAAGATCGTGCATAAAATGTCTAAAATTGTTGGATGTCATCTTTGCGTCAAAATATACACATATACTATCATAGAGTTGTATACCGTTTGATCAGGATCACGTATACATATTCATTTCATTTATTTATTTTACAAAATCAATTGAAGAAGGAAAGACAGTAAATAGATGGAAGCATTTTGTTAAAGTGAAATAGTAATAGACATTTACAACGTTATGTCGTAACTATTAATGAAAGTACTGATCGTTTCGCATCCTCTTCATAAATAAGCTTGGTCCCGTTGTATATTAATTAGACATCAAATGTAGCATTTTATACAGAAAAAAAATCTCGATTTTGTAAGTCAAAATAAAATTTGTATGGCACTTGCAAGTGGAGAGAGTGAGTTAATCCTAAAATAAGTGCTGAATGACTTGAAGTTGTTAAGCCCACTTTTTAACCTTGGCTGACCATGTTTAAATGTTGGTAGGTGTATAGGTGCAGGGTAACCTCAGAAAGCTCTGATTTGTTATACGAAACTACTTCTAGATCGTTATCAAGTCTTGATAAGAGAAATTAAAAACTACCAGTGGTTCGGATGTACTATGGATTTATTACAAAGGACACGTTACGATTAAATTAACGAATAATAAGGGTCCAAAGAACGAATCAGCCGAGTTGGACGAACAGTCAAATTCGTCCTTTGGACACTGAATGTTTAACTTACTGTGCAGTAAAAATATGTAACTGAAATCGTATTTTGCCGATAAAGAAGCGCATCGTTAATGTTGTGAAATCTCGTAACAGCGACACCACAGTCTCACTCGATATAACGCTACTAAACGGATTATAACAAAACCTCCATATGATGACTTCTTTTCTATTAACTTCAACTGATAGAGCAAATAGGTTCAGCGAAAACTTCGATATAATGTCCTTCGCATCGTGTAGCTAACGGTCTTATATATACACGCATTCAATATCATCATACCCCTTTATATTGACATATGTCGATGTAAAAATATTATAATCCCTTCAATAATTCAGGTGTTGTCAGATATGTTGGTCCGTAAATTGGCCTCAGATACCAAATCATCGAACAGTGACAGAAAACGCGCTGTTGGTTTTCCGACGGAATAATGAAATCAGGATCTGATATTTATAGACGGGACCATACCAACATGGTCTTTCCAACAGGGAAACCCTTATAGGAAAAGGGTGACCTCCCCGAATTGGAATTCTCGAGAAAGCTTTGTCATCATATTAAAATGGTCTTAGAGGGAGACCTTGTTAATATGGATACACAGAAAGGGGCGACACCCGACACGGAACCCCACTAGAACTGTCCAACGAGAGTGTCCAATTATTAGGAACATAGGAAATCCCTCCAAATGGGCTAAAGAGAAAACCCCCAATGGAAAGGTCCACGGGGACTACCGAAATAGTAGGGATATCTTAGGGAAATCCCCTTCAATGAGTGAACTACTGGAAAACTCCAGAAATTAACCCCTGAGTACTTGCGGGTTTGTTTATCTGTTTGCTTTGTGTTCACTGATTTGTATATTTTCTGTTTATGAAGACCCGGATTCTATTAGATTAGTATTATGTATATTATTCAATGATACGTCTCATTGGATTACCAAAAATACCATCAACCTCAACTCCAGGTATAGCTTACAAAAATACCATCAACCTTAACTCCAGGTATAGCTTACAAAAATACCATCAACCTTAACTCCAGGTATAGCTTACAAAAATACCATCAACCTTAACTCCAGGTATAGCTTACAAAAATACCATCAACCTTAACTCCAGGTATAGCTTACAAAAATACCATCAACCTTAACTCCAAGTATAGCTTACAAAAATACCATCAACCTTAACTCCAGGTATAGCTTACAAAAATACCATCAACCTTAACTCCAGGTATAGCTTACAAAAATACCATCAACCTTAACTCCAGGTATAGCTTACGACAAATGCACTTTAAAACATAATAAATACAAAAAATAGTTCAGGTCATTCATCCATGATCATTTAATTATATCTATTGATCAACAAGACAATACTGACGCACTCCAATACGACATTTGTGATTAATAGTCTGAAATTGAAATCCTCAATGACATGTGTAAGGTACTTACATAAACAATGGGTCACTAACAAAGAAATCTATATGTTTGTAAACATATTTATAAACAATTTCTAGACGTGTTTTGTTTAGATTGTAAAAGTCCAAGGTTGAAAACAATTAATGAGCGGTAGCATTTTTCAAAACAATGAAAAAATCTTTTTAAAATGTAATACTAGCAATAGTCTAAATTTAGTTTTTCCAACCGCTGTCAGCATGAACGATTTATTGTTCTATTAAAAATGCTTTATAAAAATCCAGTTCACGTGACTAAAATTTAAAGTTTATAGCTTCAAATTCAAAACATTTGGTAATTTCAAGCTTAATTGAAACATGAAATGATGATATATGGAACTGATATTGGTAGTTTTTTTTTTATCTTATTCTAACAAATATATAAGTCAATAGTTCATTCTGGGGCTTTCAACTACTTTGCAGTAAACTATTTCTGACAATGTTGTTGTGATATGTAAGCATACGCTTCACTCGATTCCCACATACAGAATACAGATAAACAAACAAATATACTGTTTACACAACAAAAAAAAGTACAAAGTGAAATCATAAATAATCAATTTGTCTCCGACTTCAAACTGGTATCGTTAAATTACTACACATAAAAGCCTTTCTGTAACAGACAGTCATGCAATAGGCTATATGGCGGGGTGTTTATTTACGCGGATTTACGAATATTGAAATATTGAAGATACTGATCTATGATGCAGTAGAGATTCTTTTACCCAGCATTTCTATTGATGTTACGATCTCAAAAGAAAATCAAGTCCAGAGAAATATATCTTTTAACAATAATACAATATTTTTGTGTTAACCATCTCCAAAAATAGTATGTCTACATTATTTTAGCCATTTGTAATTACAGATTGACAAAAAGGAGTATCAATTGAATGTTAATTAACCGGAATCTGGTTAATCGAAAAACCGGACGTGTGAAATCCGGAAAGTAATCAACTATCGCCGTTGTAATACATATAAATACATATATACATATATTATCCAACAGGAGCCAAACACGCTTAAAGCATTGTTAGCATAATACATTTTATTCCGTAGATTTCAAAATATTTTTCGATAAATTAATCAAATAATTCAAGAATTGTAATAATGAATAATAACTTTAATGAAAACGATGTAAAATATATTGAATGAGATTCGAGAAAACAAATTGGTAAAGCTGATTAAGCTTAAGTTTGAGTGAATTACAATGTCCAAGGCAGGCTCGTGTCCAAAATTTTGTAGCTAGACTAGCGGCACCAAACACCGGTTTTTTTAGTTAAAGGACAACGGTCTGTATACGGTTAGTACTCCAGATTATGACACATTACACCCGGTACTATAAAGTCACAAGTTTTTGGTAATGCCATTCAAGTTAAGGATTGCTTGATTAATAAATATCCCTTAATCTATTACGAAAGAAAATGTCACAAATACCAGATTTTTTTAAAACTTTCGTTAAAATACATTTTAATTAAAATACTTCGTTAATATTACATAATCAGTATATATATTGTTATCTTATGATAAGAAATTTGTTCTTTCTGACGAAGAAGTAACACAAACCCTTTTCACAAATAGATACATACAGATTCTTGGATAAGTACGATTCATTCAAAGGATTGATTTGTGTAATGATAATCCGTCATAAACAGATAGGAAATAGATATTATAACACTCGGGCATCACCTGAAATAACGGAAATACCCGAGGGTAAATCCAGTAGGAAGGATTTTTTTACATTTATGACATGTTCATCCAGAATAAGGTGTAGATTCACGAGATTGTAGTCTCCAAGATGATACAACAACAGCAGCAATAGACGGGGTCATATTAAGGTCATCAATATCTTTTAAATACGAAAGTTCACACTGAATATAATTTGTTGGATTACAAATACAATACAGATACAATTTAATTTTCAAACCACATTTTTTTCTTATTTGAAGCATTTTATCGTTTATTGCACAATTCAGTGGTGGGATTTCTGTTCCCTAAGTTTCTTTTCCCGCGCAAGACTTTTTGCGAGTTTGTTAACATCGCCATTTCGAAATGATTCCAAAATTTCCACACTCCTTTTCACGCGCTTCTTTGCGTTTTCCATTTTCTGATCTTGAGCAAGCCTACTACGCGACGAAGCAGGTTTGGCATTGAAATCGGATGTTGTATTCAATCTAGTAATCATCCAAGCATGTTCGTTTCCTCTACTTGGTGGCACTGGTGCTACTGATGGAGGAGCTGAAAGACACACGGTTTGAGCAAAATCTACCGACAAGGACGGTACCACGGATGCGTCAACAGAAGGTGCGATAGAGGGCGCCACAAAACTATTTTCTGCAAAAAGTTGGTCATTTTGATGTCTTTCGTCATCAGTCTTTTCCTTATCCTCCAAGCTAGAGCCAGAGTATTTAGAAAGACGGCTTTTAGACTTCACATTTTGTTCGTTATATTGGTCCGTTTGTTTCAAAAATGCTGGATTGAGAAGGTTTTCCAAACGTTTGAAACGCATATCTCTAGACGGTCCACCTGATTCTAACATAGTCTTGCCACGATATGTGTCGTAATGTTTGAGTGCATCTGGATCTATAACTTCCACTTCTGGTAATTTGTTCATAAATGTTTTATCGTTATGTGTTATGATTTCTGTTTTTTCTTTGCTAATTCCGAAAGGCATTTTCACCTGTCTCGGCGTAGAAGTTGTTATATTATTTCCGTTTCCGGTTCCTGACGTAGCTCCATTTCCGATAACGGCTGAAGCAGATTTTAGTCGTGGTCCTCTGCTGGTTTTGACCCGATAATCCGGAAGTCGATATACTACATCCATATCCTTGGGACGTTTCTCTTCCGGAACAGAAAAAACTGGAAAATTCATATTTGATAGGCGTGTTTCGTCATCTCGTTTCCATTTCTTTTGCTTCCGGTCTTGCATAGCAACGAAAGTTCTTTGTGTGAGATCGTTTGCATTAGATTGTTTAAGCTGTCGGAGAGTCAAATCACTCATGGTTCGCTCCAGTTGCCGATCTTGGCTCATGTTTTCGTTTAGAATCACATGAGAAAGAGCTGTCTTTGGTAAGGAATCTCTCACACATAGATATTGTTTTATTTTAATGTTTTTGGTATCCTCGCCTTGTATATAGGAAAAACCATCTGGCGAAATATCAAACTGTTGAGACAAATCACCTCCTCCTGAGTCCAGAGGCGTCATGATTTCCATCTTACAATCACACAAATAAATATTGAAAATAAAAGAAAGTTTGGTTATTCTCCTAAAGAAAAAACCCTCACCTTCGAATGGAACGTCAAAAATGATCTTTAAAATGAACTAACACGGTTGCTAAAAACCTTAATACATAGCCGGAAAATAAACTCCGAACACGTACTTTCACACTTCCAGTAGTGTGAAGATGAGAGTGTCACTTGTGTCATGGCTTTTGAGTCATTGGATAAAATCCTCCAAAAAGTCTTCATTTCCTAAACCAAGCCATGGCCGTTGGCTGGTTTGGTCCCGATCTCGAGTCTGGGAAGAGTGTGTGTGATTATTGTGCCTGTCAACACTCCGTTTGAAATATGTAGGTTTAAACTTATCAATAATGAAGTATTTTCTGGATCTTTTTAGTCCTTTTTTCTCTTCAAACAACAACAGTTTATCTGTTCTCCTTGCATGACCGCTTTTTTATGGTATCAAAGTTGTCTGTTCAATCCGTATAGAACACAAACACTCAAATGACTGCGTCATAGTGTTATGGTTATAGTGCATCCTTACCTTAACAGACGGATTTCCAGAACAGTACAATACATACTGGTTTTATGTATGGGTATTGTTCACTCTGATAGCTATCGTTCTATTCACTGGAACCGGCTCTGCAATCGACCCGGAACAAACTTATGAATATTGATACCTAATTGAATGATTGTAGCTTTGTAACGGCTCGACTGGAAATGCTATGTTATCTTCAATAGTATTCTGTAAAATACGACTGTCTATAGCAAGTCTGCAGTTTCTGACGGCTATTGACTTAAACGGGCCACAATGGTTCTTGGGTTGTTCACAGTTTACAAACTTAACGATACACTATATGTAATTTGAGTTTGTGCTACGTGGCCAAAAAGTCTCTACCCGTTCCTCACTGTTATACAAACAGGTATCAATATATTTTCTATGTTGTTTTACGGATTAGCAGATTACTGTACGGCTTTATCCGCTAAAGACTTAATATACAAATGTTTTTTCTTTAGTTAATCAAGGCCAGAGAATTTGAAGAGGCTTAAGAATGGGTTTTCCATAACCCCAAATCGGTATGGTTAAGATAACACACCATGTATGGTTAAGATAACACACCATGTATGGTTAAGATAACACACCATGTGAGGTTAAGATAACACACCATGTATGGTTAAGATAACACAACATGTGTGGTTAAGATAACACACCATGTATGGTTAAGATAACACACCATGTATGGTTAAGATAACACACCATGTGAGGTTAAGATAACACACCATGTATGGTTAAGATAACACAACATGTGTGGTTAAGATAACACACCATGTGAGGTTAAGATAACACACCATGTGAGGTTAAGATAACACACCATGTGAGGTTAAGATAACACACCATTTGTGGTTAAGATAACACACCATGTATGGTTAAGATAACACACCATGTAAGGTTAAGATAACACACCTTGTATGGTTAAGATAACACACCTTGTATGGTTAAGATAACACACCATGTGAGGTTAAGATAACACACCATGTGGGGTTAAGATAACACACCATGTATGGTTAAGATAACACAACATGTGTGGTTAAGATAACACACCATGTGAGGTTAAGATAACACACCATGTGTGGTTAAGATAACACACCTTGTATGGTTAAAATAACACACCTTGTATGGTTAAGATAACACACCATGTATGGTTAAGATAACACACCATGTGAGGTTAAGATAACACACCATGTGGGGTTAAGATAACACACCATGTATGGTTAAGATAACACACCATGTGAGGTTAAGATAACACACCATGTGAGGTTAAGATAACACACCATGTGAGGTTAAGATAACACACCATGTGAGGTTAAGATAACACACCATGTGAGGTTAAGATAACACACCATGTGAGGTTAAGATAACACACCATGTATGATTAAGATAACACACCATGTATGATTAAGATAACACACCATGTGAGGTTAAGATAACACACCATGTGAGGTTAAGATAACACACCATGTGAGGTTAAGATAACACACCATGTGAGGTTAAGATAACACACCATGTGAGGTTAAGATAACACACCATGTATGATTAAGATAACACACCATGTATGATTAAGATAACACACCATGTGGGGTTAAGATAACACACCATGTGAGGTTAAGATAACACACCATGTGGGGTTAAGATAACACACCATGTGAGGTTAAGATAACACACCATGTATGATTAAGATAACACACCATGTGAGGTTAAGATAACACACCATGTAAGGTTAAGATAACACACCATGTGAGGTTAAGATAACACACCATGTATGATTAAGATAACACACCATGTGAGGTTAAGATAACACACCATGTATGGTTAAGATAACACACCATGTAAGGTTAAGATAACACACCTTGTATGGTTAAGATAACACACCTTGTATGGTTAAGATAACACACCATGTGAGGTTAAGATAACACACCATGTATGGTTAAGATAACACACCATGTGAGGTTAAGATAACACACCATGTATGATTAAGATAACACACCATGTGAGGTTAAGATAACACACCATGTATGATTAAGATAACACACCATGTGAGGTTAAGATAACACACCATGTGAGGTTAAGATAACACACCATGTGAGGTTAAGATAACACACCATGTGAGGTTAAGATAACACAACATGTATGATTAAGATAACACACCATGTGAGGTTAAGATAACACACCATGTGAGGTTAAGATAACACACCATGTGAGGTTAAGATAACACACCATGTGAGGTTAAGATAACACACCATGTGAGGTTAAGATAACACACCATGTGAGGTTAAGATAACACACCATGTGAGGTTAAGATAACACACCATGTGAGGTTAAGATAACACACCATGTATGATTAAGATAACACACCATGTGAGGTTAAGATAACACACCATGTAACACACCATGTGAGGTTAAGATAACACACCATGTATGATTAAGATAACACACCATGTATGATTAAGATAACACACCATGTGAGGTTAAGATAACACACCATGTGAGGTTAAGATAACACACCATGTAAGGTTAAGATAACACACCATGTGAGGTTAAGATAACACACCATGTATGATTAAGATAACACACCATGTATGATTAAGATAACACACCATGTATGATTAAGATAACACACCATGTAAGGTTAAGATAACACACCATGTGAGGTTAAGATAACACACCATGTATGATTAAGATAACACACCATGTATGATTAAGATAACACACCATGTATGATTAAGATAACACACCTTGTATGGTTAAGATAACACACCTTGTATGGTTAAGATAACTCACCTTTTCCTATGGACCATGTGTATGAAGCAATAAAACTTGTTGATTTCTTAAATTGATATATCTCTTTATGTCACGGTTACCATTTTGAATATGAAAAAACTGCTACATGTGCACATTTTATTACCATATATGTAGTGTAAGTTTGTACAAATATTATCACCATATGTGTACGTTTGTACAAATATTATCACCATATGTGTAAGTTTGTACAAATATTATCACCATATGTGTAAGTTTGTTCAAATTGTATCACCATATGTGTAAGTTTGTTCAAATTGTATCACCATATGTGTAAGTTTGTTCAAATTGTATCAACATATGTGTAAGTTTGTACAAATATTATCACCATATGTGTAAGTTTGTTCAAATTGTATCACCATATGTGTAAGTTTGTTCAAATTGTATCACCATATGTATAAGATTGTACAAACTATATATATTATTTAGTGATATCGTTAATTATACAAAACTTTCCCCATGGAAAGCTTGTTAGACTTAAAAGCAAACCAATTAAAGCTTTAACACACAATCTGATCCATATTTAGCCGTTTATTGCATTAAACGATGGATATTAAACATCGTACATTGGTTATATCAGTATTTACACAAAATTCTTAGATTGTATACTATTTAATACAAAAATGCTGATCTTGATACTGCATGTCTTTTTAATAGAGACAACGTCACGTTAACAGGAAAAGGCCGATATAGCCGATATCTACTCCTTCATTGCTGGGTGACTAATCTCGTTCTTATGATGAAATGGTCCCGTGACTATGATATTTCACTGATGCGAGATAATGAATAGAGGATTTCCTGAATGACGATGACGTATAACATTATTGCCCGAGTAAATCCCGAACATGTAGTTATTGACCACGCTGAAACCAAAGCTAGTAAATGTACTTATGTAATACATAGGACAGAGAATATGACGTACAATTGATTTTTTTTTTAAATCCTCGTAAATATGACAACCGCCTTCAGTTATTCAAAATACTTTTCTCAAGAAATTCCAGTAATATCGTGACACAAATCACAACCTCGGGGCCCGTAGGGTAGAAATTGTACAGCGCCCGTCTTCACGATCACTGTATCAATTTCTTGAGCTGTTGATATGGAATTTATATCAGGTATAAATGACAGAGCTTTCCGGACAAAAACCAAACTGCACGTTAGAAAAATATCATTTACTGTTATGTCATTTTCTAATTATAGATTTACATGTAAATGTACGAAAAATAATTCCAATGTCTGAATTTCAAAACAAAAATCAAAATCAGTATTTTTTTCAAACCCTTATTAAGTGCCTAAAATGTAGACATAGAAATTATTACGTCATAGTTATTCTGCTATAATGTACTTTAATAGTTTTGAAATATTAGACGTCAACGTGCTTTTGTTGCATTATGTAAATGACCATTATTTGCTTTCAGAAATAAAACGAGCGTGCCGGGGCATCATTTAAATAGACCTCCTTAAAGATTAAAATAACCTTAACAGTTCACTTAACTGATTATTTAAGCCAGCAAACCGTCAATCAATGCGACATCAAAAAATATATACACAGAAAATTCCAGCTTAACATTGGCAAAATGGTCAAAACGTCATAAGGGAAATAACTCTCTATTATATCAGTTTATATTAGCCAGTTT